CTTCGATATTTAGGTTAAAACTTGTTTTTCACGACCCTGCATATTCATAATCTGTGAGGGCAGTGGGGTAACCGTGTCCTTAAGGCTTTTCCTTTTATAATCAGTGTAGTGAGTATCAGTCATGTGAAATATTCTTCACCTTTACTTGTAACACCTCTTCATAAGTGAGAAATTTAATTATGATGCTTATCCATTACTTTTCAGACACATGAACCGTTTTGTCTGCATGTGCGCCCTGCGCTTCTCCCTCCGTGATCATTTCTCCAAACGGATGTTGGGTGTTCCATTGCAAGGGAGGTCGCAGGCATGGAGAGGTCCCCTTTAAGGAGGATAATACTTGGATCCAGGATGAAGATGTATGCACCCACCCCAACCCCCCAACTCTAGCTAGAGTTTAATGGATCTGTAGCTGTATCCATCTCCGGCCATGTACATATATGTATATGCTCTGTTATGTGTGCGAACTATGTGCCCCAGGTGTACGGGACGTGTGTTCTGCTTGAACTCCTTCACCGTGGGAAGTTACGTCGCAAAACTTCAATACAGCACATTATATTGAATAAACGGCACGTATACTTCATGTTTACGTATACCTCATATGCATATTGTAGCTGTCACATTGTATCAGACAATAACAGGCGAAGAAGCGTTGGTCAACTCCCTCCACTAGTTCCGCGGAAGATAAATGTGCCGTGTATGTGACGTAGTGACATAAGCTCCGCCCGCTCATGAATATTCATGATTTCTGTGCACTTAAGACCATTGTAGGTTTTAGGGCACAACAGACGTGTATTTATTTTCGTTGGCTGAAGTGTGTGTATTATGCGTGTCTCCTACTGTAAACCCTCCAGTAGATTGGTAGTGCTGCATACGTTGAGGGAACACGGTTCCAGAGTTTTTTTCTCAAAAAAGTTTTTATCTCTGGTTTTACGTGTCGGGCTTCAGCTACCTTTGACCGTTTTTATATGTACGTCTAGAATATTCATACACATTGTCATCCGTCGAATGGCGGTGGTTTTTCATTGTGTTGTTTATGTTCGTGCAAATAGAGAATTCGGTATTGTACCATGTTGGGAATGATGACAATAAAATGCCGTGTACCGCACAGCTGGTCCAATTGTACTTGTTTTTGTTTTGTTTTTGTTGATAATGGAAGTGTTGTGCATTCCAGGTGAATTGCTTTTCTCAAAGGAAATCGGATGTGTTGGATTTTATCGTGGTGTTGGAGTCTAGCTAGTCTTTGGTTTTGTCATACACTGCCAAGACAACAAAACGTCCCATTTTTGTACCATACTGTAACCATTTAATAATCAACTATTTACACAGGGGAAATAACCTACAGGTATACTGATGCTAATTTAAGAATGTTCAACTGGACCGGTGTGCGAAATAGCCACTAGTAAAAATCCAGTTGGGCCAATAAATAACCACAGTTATTGGCCCGATTGGCTAGTGAATTTTCATGGAGTCATTTTGCAAATATATCACTCTCTCCAATTTGTTAAGTTATAATACACTTTTAAATCATGTAAGATTATGGCCTGATAACAAAAATCTTCATTATATTAGCAGCTGAATGATGAAACCCGTGTCACTCCGACAATATCTTGTTCTCATCTATTTTCGTTATCTTTAACTTAGTTTCTACATTCAAATTTCGGGCTAGTGAATTATTTTGTGGGCTAGTAACTTTCAGGCATAGCTAGCCCGACTGGGTAGCAAATTTTGGGAACTATTTCACACACTGAACTGGACAGTTCCTTCCAGTTAATTAACCATCGAAAAAGGAAAAAAGACAAGACCAATATTCAAACAAAAATACATCAGCCAAAGGACGGGTTATGATATCTACAAAATAATAGTTACAAGACAAAATGCTACAAAATCGCATAGACACTATTTATATTAACACATCACTCACCCTATTTATTGCTTTAGTAGAGCGATACCACTCTTACCTGATAAGGCATGACAAGCCCTTTCTGGTGTTCCCCGCCGTGACCTTTAAACTCAGTATCACGTACAGTCATAATTGCTATTAAAGCCTTGTCTGTACTATCTTTTTATACATTGTTTAAACGTCACATGTCATCAAATGTATCTACATGTGCAGAACAGTAAATACTAATTTACAGTATCACAAATCGTATTATTCTAAACAGACTCTTTTTGTGAAAAATACAAATGCTTTCCTTCACTTACCTTTTTCTCCTTTTCTAAAAATTCTATGACGAACATTTGTGCATGCATTTCATGCATTGGGGTTTCGTATAATATGGTCTCTATCAAAAGTGCTTTGGTATGCGGTCTGTCCGCCTTGAGTGAGTGAGTTTAGTTGTATGCCGCTTTTAGAAATATTCCAGCAATATCACGGCGGGGGACACCAGAAATGGGCTTCACACATTATACCCATGTGGGGAATCGAACCCAGGTCTTCGGCGTAACGGCTATTATTATTTAACCACTATTCTATCCCACCGCACCCTGTCCGCCTTGAACCTGGCGGTGCGGTGGTGTAGCCTAGTGGTTAAAGCGTTCGCTCGTCACGCTGATAATGATATTGATGGAACATTACTAAAAGCGGCGTAAACCTAAACTCACTCACTCACTCAAATGAACCTGGCAGTTAAATGTTTCTAAAATCACGGATGTATCACGATTGTATTTCCGGGCAAAGTCGGACGCACCCCTTCCGATAGTTTAGCGTACAGGAAAAAATATTCATACGTACATAAAAAAAAACTTACATTAACGCTTGTGTTTTATTCTGTGAGTGGCCCGCATGGTGGTTACATGGTTCTTCACACTTTATAATGTACGTCAAACTAGATTCCAAACAGAGCAATCGTGGGGGCATGTGCATTCTCCTTAGGAGCCATTTAAACGCATTTTCATAATATTTAGAGAAAGCCTAAACATCACTATTAAACAGTGATACCAGGTGATCGCGACATATTCAAGCTTATCCTGGTGGCACAATCACATGTGCAAAGGCAGTCCAATTGATCGCCTGGAAACAGCACGACAATATATTGAACACGTTTAAATAAGAAATTGCTGTGACGGTTGCCGATGAATCATAATTGAAAATGCCCTTCACTTATTACGTCAAACTCTTTTGGAAGCTTTACTTAGGCCGTGAATGTCGTAACAAATTTCGACCAGGAGTAGAGTTACATCCGCTGAAAGTTTTGTAGAAAGTACATATAATATTGCCTCAAAAGTAGTGAAATGTGGACACCGTAGCCCCCAAAGCGTGGACAGATGATTGTTTCAAAGTCACCCCTCTTGTCATAGTTGTGTTAGGAGCTTTCTATACTCGGGCCTATGCATACAGTGAGATTCAAATATGCATGCAATTGTGAACGCTGGATATTTGTTTACAATATGTGCACGTTCGGTTTAACATTCTGCCCCCCAAAATCCATTTTCAGTATTAAACGCCCTACCGGCTTTTATGAAAGATGGTGTTTGGTGGCCCATTTGCTGCAAGTACTTGATCACCTCACATTCCTGAGTGTGTCATTGTTTTTGAAAGGCCTTTTGAATAGGACGTAATATGTCAAAAACGGTTATAGCTCTGGGTCAGTCTTATGACCGCTGCTATTTATGTTTTATATGAATGACATCATAGGTATAGATAGTAATATACGTTTATTTGCCGATGATATGAATATATCACAGATGAAAATATTACAGCAGCCATGTGTATCAATAATGATATGCAAAAGTTGCAGACTGGGCCAATAAATGGAAAGAAGGGTTTAACCCAGAAAACAATGAAAGTATATCTTGTACTCGTAGAGCCAATCATTGTATTCGACTGCATTTATACATGGACGGTAAACAAATCCAAGAAGTAAGAAGTCATAAGCATTTAGGAAATAAACTTCAAGACGGCCATTCGTGGAAAGTACATGCATAAATAATATTGTCCCATATAACTGCTTACTGAGTTTAAAATATCGCCTATCACGGTAAACTCTAGAGACATTGCACAAGTCGTTTATTCTTCCATCTGTGATTGTTGTCGTCCATTTGGTATAACTGTATAAATGAACAGGCTCTAGTACTGCTTGAAACGCTTCATTTGGGTGCTCTCGGAACTACTAGCGGTACTAATGTTAAATCTCCAAAAGAATCGCTTCAAACAGATGAAATGAAAAACCGCATGGCACCAGATTATCTAACTGAACTTGTACCAGGCAGACTTGCTGAGATAATGTCTGCCATACAGACCCTGAAACAAATATATCCAAGAAAGCCCATGCAAGTATATAGAAGAAGTGGCAAGTCTAGATTTCCACAGTTTCAGAAAATGAAGAAAGACTCTGGGCTCAATTTCATTATGTTTATGCCTATTCTATTCTCCCTGGTTTATGATTATTTTTATGAATAGTTTTTTCTGTAAAATATGTTCATTTCAGAGACAAGATGTTAGCCTACTGAGATAAATAATAATAATCTTAGAAACCGATCGTATTAAGTAAAAATCAACTGTACATGTAGAACCCAAGCGTATGCAAATTCATTTCTTCTAAGTACAATTAGCTTATGAAACTCCTTGCCCAAGGAATTAAGTCACTAGTGTTAACTAAAAAAAATAAAAAAAGAAATTGTAACTTTAATTTCTACTATAGATTTCACAAACACTACTTTGACTAAAACACAGGAAATAGATTCTGTCAGTTTACTCACTGCCGCCCCAGACTATGCCGCAGCGATCTAAATGCTGATACTGACACAAATTGTATCAGCGGATATGAAGTAATTATTTTATGGTCTCTGATTTCATAAAAGATAGAATTAAATAAACTGGTGTCGTAATTATTGTTCATCACAAATATTTCGGGTAATAGTACTCAAAGATGCTGGATATGAATAGAATGAACATTTCTTTGACGAGGTTTCGAATTGTATTTACTGGCAGGACCTAGGTGTTTTCAGTTTTCACTTCTTACGGGGTTATCTCCCTTGTCACTTTTCTCTTTAAAGGAACAAAAACAACAACTTCCGTCTGGTTGTTGACAACGTGAACCACACTTTTAAGTTTATTTCTTGTCACGACAATGGTCTTTTACTTCATTAGCAATGGTATGTATATGTTTCACGTAATCATATATCGCACTGTTTCTTAACATAACATGATTTGACCAAGCTGATCAGATAATCACTGGTCCCCACTATCGAGAGCGATCATTTACTCCCCCGGTTTTCGCTCACAGACATTACGAGCAGATGCTGATGGCATGAAGAATTATGTATGCTAGTTTTGATATGGATTGTTCTCGGAAGAATTGATAGTGTGCGTGTGATTGTGTCAGCGGTTATACAGCTTACAGGAGGCCTGTCCTCCATACAAGTTTGTTTGGTGGCAATTTGCCGCACGTGACGGTTCGATTAATTGCAAAATATGGCGACAAAATAAGCTTTAACATGACTTTCTTGTATGCGCATGGATAATATAATACCAGGGCAAGAGTGCAGTTTACCGGGTTAAAATTTAGGCAGTATACGGGCGGAAATCTTACCTAGCTGGGGCGGTGGGGTAGCCTAGTGGTTAAAGCGTTGGCTCGTCACGCCGAAGACCCGGGTTCGAATCCCCACATGGGTACATTGTGTGAAGCCCATTTCTGGTGTCCCCCGCCGTGATGTTGCTGGAATATTGCTAAAAGCGGCGTAAAACCATACTCAGTCAGTCAGTCTTACCTAGCTTACTGTCTCACTTATTGATTCCCTTCGCTGATCGTGACGTGAGTCTCTTCGAGGGTTGGCTGTGTAACGGTTAGGGTAGGCGCTAATTGAACATGTTGAAACTGAAAAAGTGTACCCGTAAACAGGGTAAAGTCCACTACTCTAGATCACAAAAGTGAATATCAGAGCAAGCCAGAAACAGTTTTGCTGAGTAAAGACTTTGACCATGTTAGATGTGTTTCATTGGGGAACATGCTCAGGCTAACAGGCAACAGTTTCATGAGTGACACAAATATGACAGCTACCATTACAATTAAATTTACTTGTTTTATCTCTTCTGACTCTGATGTCTCATTTCAGTGGTGTCTCCACCCTACACAATGTACATGGGACTGGACAAGCATGAAAGTAAGTTATTCTTGCAACATGTATTATACTACGGAAGCGCTGAAGGGACCTGATGAAATAAAATTTATCTTGAGTGCACAAGTTAAAATATTGAGCTCACAAGTTAGTATCTTGAGCTCACACTATAGTATCTTGAGCGCACAAGTTAGTATCTTATGCGCACAAGTTAATATCTTGAGTATCTTGAGCGCTCAACTTCGTGTTTAGCATCTAATGGCATTAATGGAACACACGTTTGCTTGACTGATGGCTAAAATGTACAAACTTATATCCTTTTTGGAAGATTTCAAACGATGCAAAGTCTAACTACAGGTGTTTATGATGAGACTATGTAAAAGTATGCAAATGTATCATGAACATTGATAATGTTTATGTAAATGTTCATCGTCTTTATGCTTGTCAATACTATTCTTTGTAACTTACTTTACTACTTTTTGCTTTATTACATAAAGCAGGCCCAGGTATGTGTAATGTCATAATAAGAATTAAAACATAAACATTAGTAGGAGTTTATTGCAGGGATGAATAGTGATTTTACTGACTTCTTATATTGGTACAAAGTATTATGAACACTAGCGTAAAGCATGGAAAACTTGTTTTGTGCTATGGCTTTATTATGTATATATAGTATTACATGACCATGAAACATGTAAACATTGAGTGTTATACTTAATTATAAAACTCATGTCTGACGTATTTGAAGTATTCCACTTTCAGGGAACTATAGTCTGTAGTCTTGGTTTGCATGTATCAGTAACTGTTTCCTAATGTGGGTACAGTGGTAGTACAATATCTGTACAATATCATATAAAACCCGCCTTATTTATTTGATCCATTAGTATGTGCACGTATAGCACATTAACCAACTTTATTTCTTACTAAAATACCATGTTCCCCGTTTTACTTCCTCCGTTTCAATCCCTTATGTATACGTATGTGTGTTGTAGTTTATTTAACATGTTTTAACAACACAGGAAGTTGAAGAATAACACGTCGATGAAGACGGTGTCTTGAGCGAAATTCAACACCATCCGGGTCCAACACTCTTAGCAACGATCGTACAGTATCCTGTTTCACGATTAAACCTCATTGGATACATTTTTTATGCATCCAACGATAACCATGTCTTTAGATCGTCAAAGTTGTCCGCAATAAAGTCTGTAACATCAGTGGGGCGGGTGGGGTTGCCTCGTGGTTAAAGACCTGGGTTCGATTCCCCACATGGGTACAATGTGTGAAGCCTATTTCTGGTGTCCCCCGCCAAGATATTGCTGGAATATTGCTAAAAGCGCTGAAACCATACTCACTCACTCACTGTAACATCAGCATATCTGGTATCTGGTGCGAAAGGGGGACATACACCTCAGAATACGCTTCTATACTATACCATGATTTTTGACAAGAAGATGTGTTATATCTTTGTATTGGAACCAAAGACTGAAATAAGCATGAATCAGCTCGCGTTTCCGCTCCTCCGTTGCTTCGGCATGAACTGCTTATGGAGTAGTGTATCTCAAGATACTAAGTTGAGCTCTCAACATAACGTGTGCGCTCAATATATTAACTTGTGCGCACAATATATTAACTTGTGCACTCAACATACTAACTCGTCCGTTCAATATAAATTATATTTCATCGGGTCCCTTCAGCGCTTCCGTATTATACACCTAAAGCCAGATTTTTTTCCATTTTTTTAGTTCACAGATTTCAGGCCTGATAATTCACATCATTACCGGTAGGTAAATATAACAATTATGAATAAAATTATGAATAAAAAATCTGATTTGGATTTCCTAAAAGCAATTCTTAGCAAGGAAATATGAAGTGTGAGCAGGAGCAGTTAGTTTGATGGGGAAAGAAACAAGTTGCAGCATTTCCATTACTGTCATAGATCTGTTGCATTTCATCATAATTTGTTGGGTTTTGAAGTTTTTTACAGGTTTTATCTAAGTATTTTGAATAATTCATCTATAATGTCAAAAATAATTTTAAATGTTTGTTTATTTGTTGTTGGTAGAATGCAAAACAGTCCACTGCCATTCAATTTCTCGAATACTTTTTCTCATTTCAGTTATTTGATGTTAGCGATTCATGAACTAAGTTTTGAAAGGTCTGGCCTTACCCTGCCTAGAAACATGCTAAATGCATGAGTGAACATGGTAAAGTCCAAACATATGTGAGGCAGTGGGGTAGCTTGGGCAGTGGGGTAGCCTAGTGGTTAAAGCAGTTTGACAGTACTTAGTGTAAATTATGAGGTCCTTGAAAAATTCTTCCTTGGTATTTGAATCAATGGATCCAATAAACAGGATCAAGGACCCCTGACTTTCAGGAGTACTTTGGAACCCTACATAAGCACGATATGCTTAGATTGACAGTAAGTATATTTTCCTAAACTAGGGTGTCTGACTAGGGAACAAATTCTGCCAAGTGGCAGACTGTTATGTGGTAGTGTTATTACTATAGTGTACCTGTGAAGGTCTGGGTTAGAATGTGCCTTCAGTAACCCATGCTTGTCGTAAGAGGTGACTAACAGGATTGGGTGGTCAGACTTGCTGACTTGGTTGACATATGTCATCGGTTCCCAATTGCGCAGATCGATGCTCATGCTATTGATCACTGGATTGTCTGGTCCAAGCTCGATTATTTACAGGCTGCCGCCAAATAGCTGGAATATTGCTGAGTGCAGCATAAAACTAAACTCACTCACTCATTCACTCACTTATTACTATAGTGACTATATATATTAATGATAATATTTCCCCTTCAGATGAGGATTTGATCAAGTGGGGATGGAAGGAGGATGTATGGTAAGCAGTTTCATCCGTCATGCTGTCCACTGCTTACCAGTCATGCTGGTGTCAGTGTTTGTCTTTGTGGTTGGTTTTCCTGGCTGAGCAATCATTGTTTATATTTTGAAACACTAACCATTATGGATCTAGATCTGCTCCCATACCCATGCTCACAACAAATCCTGGTAAAAATTCCCTTTTTGAATTAACAATATTCCGATCGTACACAGTTTATGAAAACATCATCCTCGATAATCTCCAGGGTATACGTTATGATCACTCTCCACTATACCCTGGATGCATCCACAGCTTGTCCCGCTAATTATATTACCTCCCTTTGCTGGCTCCACATTCTCACGGTAGCCAATCAGCTTAGCCGCTGTTACATCCGAGCTTGCCAGTGTCAACAAAGCTAGCGGTCGCAGTCGCGAAGGTTTGTTCGCAGTACCACTCAGATTTTTTTTACCACTCGACAAATTGACAGATCTGAAACTTTCAAAAGCTATATAAAAGATCTCCTTCCACATCTTACAGAGTAACCTCTGCATCAATTGTGTTGCCAAGTTTAAACGGTAAGATAATTTAAGAAGCAAAAGTGCAGGGTAATTGGTTCTCTCACCTTCCCAGCGTAGACACCTGTCTGGATAAAAAGCCAGCCAAGGGAGGTAATAAAATCATCCCAAGCCGTGGATGCATCCAGGGTATACTGGAGAGATGTGAAAAAATTAGCAGAAATTTTTTTCAACCATTTGATTGCTTTATCAATTTGTCTGGATTTCCTTTTATGTTCAAGACAAGATATCATGTTAAGTTCATTGTGATGAGTACTATTGTTTCGTATTTGTTATCTGTTTGTTGTGAAATATATAACTGAAAATCTGGGAAAAGTGAGTTTTCCCCTCATAACATACATGACAGCCGTGTATCATTGCAGGTTCCATGTTGACAAGGTGTCCTCAGCTCACGTATACCTCCGGCTCCATTCAGTAAGTGACCTTGACATTCATTCCTACATATGGAAATATTGTCATTGCACAAAAGAGAGCAAATACATATATGTGCGAACAGTGTTTGCCCTGACGCAGATAACCTGTGTATTTGACGCACAAATTATCTCAAATACGCAGTGAATTTAGAAGCTTGCATCATTGTTGACACAATGCTGCTAGACCCTTAGTTCCGATAATCTAACCTAAAACTAAATGTTTGCCAGTTAATTGCTCAGTGCTGATTAAATACCTGACCTGCCTTTTGGTCGTTATTAAACAATCACAGTTGGTCTCCATGAAAGTTCCAAATTGAAGTTGACTCCCAAAAACATGTCCATGACTCCCTCTCATGACACCAGGGAGTCATGATGACTCCTAAATTTTTATACCTAAGGCAAATATTGTGCGAAAATAAAACAATAAGTCATGATAACTGGATAATCAATAATAATAATGCACCTGACTTCAATTAATTCATTTCATGCCCAGATATACAGGATATAGCAAATTAAGTTTGAAGGGATGTTATTTCCAGGGAGAAACATTAGACGATGTCCCTCAGGCTGTGGTAGATGAGTGTGCCCAGCTGGTGAAGGCCAACAGTATTCAAGGTGTGTTATCATAAGATCTCTTGTACAGACAGTTGTACCATGACTGACTGACTGAGTTTAGTTTTACGCCGCTTTTAGCAATATTCCAGCAATATCACGGCGGGGGACACCAGAAATGGGCTTCACACATTGTGCCCATGTGGGGAATCGAACCCAGGTCTTCGGCGTGACGAGCCAACGCTTTAACCACGAGGCTACCCCACCGCCCCTGTACCATGAAGATCCTGGCTAGAACTAGTCTTCTGCAACCCATGCTTGTCAGGGGAGGTGACTCTGATTATTCTAAGAGGTGACTAAAGGGATCAAGTGGTCAGACTCATCTACTGCATAGGCGGATCCAGAAATTCTTTTTGGGGGGGTGTGGGTTCTGGATCCGCCACTGTACTTTATTGATGCATGTCATTGTACCGCATTTGTGTTCATTGATACTTATGATGTCAATCATTGGATTGTGTGGAGTTGATTATATACAGACTATCGTCATGTAGCTGGAATATTGGTAATTGTGGCACTATGAGATGCACCAACAAACAACCAAAAAGACATACAGGTAATCAATCATTGTTTGATAAAGGTTTCTTAGCAGCTACCATGGTTACCGGCTGACAAAGTAGACACTAGTTATGGATAACAACTTTTGATCTTCATTTATACTATATATATAGCTTTATAGCTACATCAATAGCATCTTTACTGAAATGCTCTAAATATGTTACAAACATTAGGATGTTGTTATCCATAAAGGTTGTTTGTTTGTTGTTTTATGCCGCACTCAGCAATATTCCAGCTATATGGTAGCTGTCTGTAAATAGTTTAGTCTGGACTAGACAATCCAGTGATCAACATCATGAGCATCAATCTACACAATTGGGATACAGTGACATGTGTCAACCAAGTCAGCAAGCCTGACCACCCAATCCCTTTGGTCACCTCTTATGACAAGCGTGGATTACTGAAGACCAATTCTAACCCAGATTTTCACAGGTGTATCCATGAAGGGTAGTAGTCAAGCAAATAACCATTTAATAACATGCATATAGTGCTGTTACACATATTCATCAGAGTAATCTTGCAACATACAGGGTTATCACAATTAGGAGATAAACATCACGTGTTGGCGAATTTCCGGGTGTTATTGAGTATTTAAAGCACAGGAATTCCTTTGGACCCGACGGCGTCAGCCGGAGGTTTCAAATGAAATATTCCTGTGCTTCAAATACTCAATAACACCCGGAAATTCGCCAACACATGATGTTTATCGACATTGTAAACACAAAAGTAAACGAAAAGGTCCACACACGTTTTTGTGTCTGCTCTCATTGACATCGAGAACGGGTACAGCAGTGAAATGTCATCAGCCGGCCGTTTCGGCTGTCTCCCATGGTAGCAACTAGAACTGCTCATTTGTGACGTCATTCAGACTTTACGTCACAATATGATTTTAATGACGTCATCACAGCTGACGACGTAACAATACAATGGTGTGAGCGATGTTTGTATGTAGTAATACGCAGAAAATTTCCAGGAATCAAATACCATTTGATCACGTTTTTCAACCAATCAGATAAAAGAACACAGTGACTTTTGGTTTACAATGTCCAATCCCTGTTCAAGATAATCATGTATTATTCAGAGTAATCATGATTATTAATATAATGCATTTTACAGAATGATTGTAGTTAGTATGTCTCCTGCAGAATAAACATGTTTATTGTAATGTTCCACAGGCAACAAGATGAACAACATTGACGTTGTGTACACAATGTGGGAAAACCTGAAGAAGACAGCAGGGATGGATGTAGGGCAGGTGGGCTTCCACAGACAGAAGGAGGTCAGTGTGTTGTGTGCTTACAGCAAAATATACCCTTCAACATGATATGTATCTTGTAAGAGAGTATGTTCCAACCAGGACTCTGAGATCAGCCAATGAGCCAATCAGTTGCTGCTCATCATCCCAAATGCACGTCTGAAGACATATGGACACCGACGTTTTTCCTACTTGTCAGCTATCCTCTGGAACAATCTGCACATGTCTCTCAAAGAATCCCACTCAATAGCCAGCTTCCAGTCTAACTTACTGTTCAAGAAGCACTATGACATCTAAATGAACTCCTATTGTAAATATGTATATAGTTAGCGCCATGAGCAACCACTAGGTGATTGGATATAGGGCGCTATACAAATGGACTTATTATTATTATGTATACAGACCACCTCAGTGATCTAATGGACAGGACCAGTGAAGATCGGGGTTAGAATTGGTCTTCAGCAACCCATGCTTGTTGTAAGGGGCAACTAATGGGATCGGGTGGTCAGGCTCGCTGACTTGGTTGACACATGTCCCTATTGCATAGATCGATGCTCATGTTGTTGGTCACTGGATTGTCTGGTCCAGACTCGATTATTTACAGACTGCTGCAATATAGCTGGAATATTGCTGAGTGCGGCATTAAACAACAAACATATCTAATGGACAGAGGATCTGTACAGAGATCGGTAGTTCTAGCCCAGACTTCATCATACCAGCAGACGTGAAAATATGTGTAACATGTTACCCAAGGATAAACAAGGATGAGACAAGGAATGACTATGTTTGTGTGTTGTTTAATGCTGCACTCAGCAATATTTCAGCTATATGGCGGCTATACAGTGTATGAGTACGGTGTCCATATTTGACTTGTAGATAAGCTGAATTTTGAGTCTAATGACAAACTCTTATATATGTATTACAAACATTCAATTGTTTTGAAAATGGGCAGGTTTAGACTGTCTTGCCAATATATGACAAAGTGACAATCAACATTGCAGGTGAGGAAAGTTAGAATAGAGAAGAGAATCAATGAGATAGTGAACCGATTAAACAAGACAAAGGAGGAGCGTTCCCCTGATTTGAGACAAGAGCGGGAAAACCAAGATAAGCTGGAGCGGGAAGACAAGAGAAGGAAGGAACAGGAGATCAAACAACGAGATAAGGAGGATGAGAAACGGAGGAAGGAACAAGCAGAGCTGCGTTCCTATGACAGTCTAATGAGGCCTGAAAACATGCAGTCTAATGTGGTAGGGTCTTTGGTGTTCCCTTATTATGAAAGTGGCTTATTTGAGATGACCAACAAAGGTGCTCTACTTCCCATGTTGCTTTCAGATCACATAACCACACACAGATAAGTATGTCTGTCATTACTTGTGTTTAAAGGCTGTGTCTGTCACTAGTGTCTCCTTGTTCCAGGATGTGATGAAGGCTTGTCTGTCACTAGTGTCTCCTTGTTCCAGGATGTGATGAAGACTTGTCTGTCACTAATGTCTCCTTGTTCCAGGATGTGATGAAGGCTTGTCTGTCACTAATGTCTCCTTGTTTCAGGATGTGATGAAGGCTGTGTCTGTCACTAATGTCTCCTTGTTTCAGGATGTGATGAAGGCTGTGTCTGTCACTAGTGTCTCCTTGTTTCAGGATGTGATGAAGGCTGTGTCTGTCACAAATGTCTCCTTGTTTCAGGATGTGATGAAGGCTGTGTGTGTCACTAATGTCTCCTTGTTTCAGGATGTGATGAAGGCTGTGTCTGTCATTCATGTCTCCTTGTTCCAAGATGTGATGAAGGCTGTGTGTGTCACTCATATCTCCTTGCTCCAAGATGTGATGAAGGCTGTGTGTGTCGCTAGTGTCTCCTTGTTTCAGGATGTGATGAAGGCTGTGTGTGTCGCTAGTGTCTCCTTGTTTCAGGATGTGATGAAGGCTGTGTCTGTCACAAATGTCTCCTTGTTCCAGGATGTGATGAAGGCTTGTCTGTCACTCATGTCTCCTTGTTCGAGGATGTGATGAAAGCTTGTCTGTCACTAATGTCTCCTTGTTCCAGGATGTGATGAAGGCTGTGTCTGTCACTAATATCTCCTTGTTTCAGGATGTGATGAAGGCTGTGTGTGTCACTAATGTCTCCTTGTTCCAGGATGTGATGAAGGCTTGTCTGTCACAAATGTCTCCTTGTTTCAGGATGTGATGAAGGCTGTGTCTGTCACTAGTGTCTCCTTGTTTCAGGATGTGATGAAGGCTGTGTCTGTCACAAATGTCTCCTTGTTTCAGGATGTGATGAAGGCTGTGTGTGTCACTCATATCTCCTTGTTCCAAGATGTGATGAAGGCTGTGTGTGTCGCTAGTGTCTCCTTGTTTCAGGATGTGATGAAGGCTGTGTGTGTCGCTTAGTGTCTCCTTGTTTCAGCTAGTGTCTCCTTGTTTCAGGATGTGATGAAGGCTTGTCTGTCACTAATGTCTCCTTGTTCAGGATGTGATGAAGGCTGTGTCTGTCACTAATGTCTCCTTGTTCAGGATGTGATGAAGGCTTGTCTGTCACTAATGTCTCCTTGTTCCAGGATGTGATGAAGGCTTGTCTGTCACTAATGTCTCCTTGTTCCAGGATGTGATGAAGGCTTGTCTGTCACTAATGTCTCCTTGTTCCAGGATGTGATGAAGGCTTGTCTGTCACTAATGTCTCCTTGTTCCAGGATGTGATGAAGGCTTGTCTGTCACTAATGTCTCCTTGTTCCAGGATGTGATGAAGGCTCCCTGTCTGTCACTAATGTCTCCTTGTTCCAGGATGTGATGAAGGCTTGTCTGTCACTCATGTCTCCTTGTTCCAGGATGTGATGAAGGCTTGTCTGTCACTCATGTCTTCTTGTTCCAGGATGTGATGAAGGCTTGTCTGTCACTAATGTCTCCTTGTTCCAGGATGTGATGAAGGCTTGTCTGTCACTCATGTCTCCTTGTTCCAGGATGTGATGAAGGCTTGTCTGTCACTCATGTCTCCTTGTTCCAGGATGTGATGAAGGCTTGTCTGTCACTCATGTCTCCTTGTTCCAGGATGTGATGAAGGCTTGTCTGTCACTAATTTCTCCTTGTTCCAGGATGTGATGAAGGCTTGTCTGTCACTCATGTCTTCTTGTTCCAGGATGTGATGAAGGCTTGTCTGTCACTAATGTCTCCTTGTTCCAGGATGTGATGAAGGCTTGTCTGTCACTAATGTCTCCTTGTTCCAGGATGTGATGAAGGCTTGTCTGTCACTAATGTCTCCTTGTTCCAGGATGTGATGAAGGCTTGTCTGTCACTAATGTCTCCTTGTTCAGGATGTGATGAAGGCTTGTCTGTCACTCATGTCTCCTTGTTCCAGGATGTGATGAAGGCTTGTCTGTCACTAATGTCTCCTTGTTCCAGGATGTGATGAAGGCTTGTCTGTCACTAATGTCTCCTTGTTCCAGGATGTGATGAAGGCTTGTCTGTCACTAATGTCTCCTTGTTCCAGGATGTGATGAAGGCTTGTCTGTCACTAATGTCTCCTTGTTCCAGGATGTGATGAAGGCTGTGTCTGTCTCTAATGTCTCCTTGTTCCAGGATGTGATGAAGGCTTGTCTGTCACTAATGTCTCCTTGTTCCAGGATGTGATGAAGGCTTGTCTGTCACTAATGTCTCCTTGTTCCAGGATGTGATGAAGGCTTGTCTGTCACTCATGTCTCCTTGTTCCAGGATGTGATGAAGGCTTGTCTGTCACTAATGTCTCCTTGTTCCAGGATGTGATGAAGGCTTGTCTGTCACTCATGTCTCCTTGTTCCAGGATGTGATGAAGGCTTGTCTGTCACTAATGTCTCCTTGTTCAGGATGTGATGAAGGCTTGTCTGTCACTCATGTCTCCTTGTTCCAGGATGTGATGAAGGCTTGTCTGTCACTCATGTCTTCTTGTTCCAGGATGTGATGAAGGCTTGTGTCACTACCAATGTCTCCTTGTTCCAGGATGTGATGAAGGCTTGTCTGTCACTCATGTCTCCTTGTTCCAGGATGTGATGAAGGCTTGTCTGTCACTCATGTCTTCTTGTTCCAGGATGTGATGAAGGCTTGTCTGTCACTCATGTCTCCTTGTTCCAGGATGTGATGAAGGCTTGTCTGTCACTAATTTCTCCTTGTTCCAGGATGTGATGAAGGCTTGTCTGTCACTCATGTCTTCTTGTTCCAGGATGTGATGAAGGCTTGTCTGTCACTAATGTCTCCTTGTTCCAGGATGTGATGAAGGCTTGTCTGTCACTAATGTCTCCTTGTTCAGGATGTGATGAAGGCTTGTCTGTCACTAATGTCTCCTTGTTCCAGGATGTGATGAAGGCTTGTCTGTCACTCATGTCTCCTTGTTCCAGGATGTGATGAAGGCTTGTCTGTCACTAATGTCTCCTTGTTCCAGGATGTGATGAAGGCTTGTCTGTCACTAATGTCTCCTTGTTCCAGGATGTGATGAAGGCTTGTCTGTCACTAATGTCTCCTTGTTCCAGGATGTGATGAAGGCTTGTCTGTCACTAATGTCTCCTTGTTCCAGGATGTGATGAAGGCTTGTCTGTCACTAATGTCTCCTTGTTCCAGGATGTGATGAAGGCTTGTCTGTCACTAATGTCTCCTTTGTTCCAGGATGTGATGAAGGCTTGTCTGTCACTAATGTCTCCCTTGTTCCAGGATGTGATGAAGGCTTGTCTGTCACTAATTTCTCCTTGTTCCAGGATGTGATGAAGGCTTGTCTGTCACTCATGTCTTCTTGTTCCAGGATGTGATGAAGGCTTGTCTGTCACTAATGTCTCCTTGTTCCAGGATGTGATGAAGGCTTGTCTGTCACTAATGTCTCCCCTTGTTCCAGGATGTGATGAAGGCTTGTCTGTCACTAATGTCCCTTGTTCCAGGATGTGATGAAGGCTTGTCTGTCACTCATGTCTCCTTGTTCCAGGATGTGATGAAGGCTTGTCTGTCACTAATGTCTCCCTTGTTCCAGGATGTGATGAAGGCTTGTCTGTCACTAATGTCTCCTTGTTCCAGGATGTGATGAAGGCTTGTCTGTCACTAATGTCTCCCTTGTTCCAGGATGTGATGAAGGCTTGTCTGTCACTAATGTCTCCTTGTTCCAGGATGTGATGAAGGCTTGTCTGTCACTAATGTCTCCTTGTTCCAGGATGTGATGAAGGCTTGTCTGTCACTAATGTCTCCTTGTTCCAGGATGTGATGAAGGCTTGTCTGTCACTAATGTCTCCTTGTTCCAGGATGTGATGAAGGCTTGTCTGTCACTCATGTCTTCTTGTTCCAGGATGTGATGAAGGCTGTGTCTGTCACTAATGTCTCCTTGTTCCAGGATGTGATGAAGGCTTGTCTGTCACTAATGTCTCCTTGTTCCAGGATGTGATGAAGGCTTGTCTGTCACTAATGTCTCCTTGTTCCAGGATGTGATGAAGGCTTGTCTGTCACTAATGTCTCCTTGTTCCAGGATGTGATGAAGGCTGTGTCTGTCTCTAATGTCTCCTTGTTCCAGGATGTGATGAAGGCTTGTCTGTCACTAATGTCTCCTTGTTCCAGGATGTGATGAAGGCTTGTCTGTCACTAATGTCTCCTTGTTCCAGGATGTGATGAAGGCTTGTCTGTCACTCATGTCTCCTTGTTCCAGGATGTGATGAAGGCTTGTCTGTCACTAATGTCTCCTTGTTCCAGGATGTGATGAAGGCTTGTCTGTCACTCATGTCTCCTTGTTCCAGGATGTGATGAAGGCTTGTCTGTCACTAATGTCTCCTTGTTCCAGGATGTGATGAAGGCTTGTCTGTCACTCATGTCTCCTTGTTCCAGGATGTGATGAAGGCTTGTCTGTCACTCATGTCTTCTTGTTCCAGGATGTGATGAAGGCTTGTCTGTCACTAATGTCTCCTTGTTCCAGGATGTGATGAAGGCTTGTCTGTCACTCATGTCTCCTTGTTCCAGGATGTGATGAAGGCTTGTCTGTCACTCATGTCTTCTTGTTCCAGGATGTGATGAAGGCTTGTCTGTCACTCATGTCTCCTTGTTCCAGGATGTGATGAAGGCTTGTCTGTCACTAATTTCTCCTTGTTCCAGGATGTGATGAAGGCTTGTCTGTCACTCATGTCTCCTTGTTCCAGGATGTGATGAAGGCTTGTCTGTCACTAATGTCTCCTTGTTCCAGGATGTGATGAAGGCTTGTCTGTCACTAATGTCTCCTTGTTCCAGGATGTGATGAAGGCTTGTCTGTCACTAATGTCTCCCTTGTTCCAGGATGTGATGAAGGCTTGTCTGTCACTCATGTCTCCTTGTTCCAGGATGTGATGAAGGCTTGTCTGTCACTAATGTCTCCTTGTTCCAGGATGTGATGAAGGCTTGTCTGTCACTAATGTCTCCTTGTTCCAGGATGTGATGAAGGCTTGTCTGTCACTAATGTCTCCTTGTTCCAGGATGTGATGAAGGCTTGTCTGTCACTAATGTCTCCTTGTTCCAGGATGTGATGAAGGCTTGTCTGTCACTAATGTCTCCTTGTTCCAGGATGTGATGAAGGCTTGTCTGTCACTAATGTCTCCTTGTTCCAGGATGTGATGAAGGCTTGTCTGTCACTAATGTCTCCTTGTTCCAGGATGTGATGAAGGCTTGTCTGTCACTAATTTCTCCTTGTTCCAGGATGTGATGAAGGCTTGTCTGTCACTCATGTCTTCTTGTTCCAGGATGTGATGAAGGCTTGTCTGTCACTAATGTCTCCTTGTTCCAGGATGTGATGAAGGCTTGTCTGTCACTAATGTCTCCTTGTTCCAGGATGTGATGAAGGCTTGTCTGTCACTAATGTCTCCTTGTTCCAGGATGTGATGAAGGCTTGTCTGTCACTCATGTCTCCCTTGTTCCAGGATGTGATGAAGGCTTGTCTGTCACTAATGTCTCCTTGTTCCAGGATGTGATGAAGGCTTGTCTGTCACTAATGTCTCCTTGTTCCAGGATGTGATGAAGGCTTGTCTGTCACTAATGTCTCCCTTGTTCCAGGATGTGATGAAGGCTTGTCTGTCACTAATGTCTCCTTGTTCCAGGATGTGATGAAGGCTTGTCTGTCACTAATGTCTCCTTGTTCAGGATGTGATGAAGGCTTGTCTGTCACTAATGTCTCCTTGTTCCAGGATGTGATGAAGGCTTGTCTGTCACTAATGTCTCCTTGTTCCAGGATGTGATGAAGGCTTGTCTGTCACTCATGTCTTCTTGTTCCAGGATGTGATGAAGGCTGTGTCTGTCACTAATGTCTCCTTGTTCCAGGATGTGATGAAGGCTTGTCTGTCACTAATTTCTCCTTGTTCCAGGATGTGATGAAGGCTTGTCTGTCACTAATTTCTCCTTGTTCCAGGATGTGATGAAGGCTGTGTGTGTCGCTAGTGTCTTCTTGTTCCAGGATGTGATGAAGGCTTGTCTGTCACTCATGTCTCCTTGTTCCAGGATGTGATGAAGGCTTGTCTGTCACTAATGTCTCCTTGTTCCAGGATGTGATGAAGGCTTGTCTGTCACTCATGTCTCCTTGTTCCAGGATGTGATGAAGGCTTGTCTGTCACTCATGTCTTCTTGTTCCAGGATGTGATGAAGGCTTGTCTGTCACTAGTGTCTCCTTGTTCCAGGATGTGATGAAGGCTTGTCTGTCACTAGTGTCTCCTTGTTCCAGGATGTGATGAAGGCTTGTCTGTCACTAATGTCTCCTTGTTCAGGATGTGATGAAGGCTTGTCTATCACTAATGTCTCCTTGTTCAGGATGTGATGAAGGCTTGTCTGTCACTAGTGTCTCCTTGTTCAGGATGTGATGAAGGCTTGTCTGTCACTAGTGTCTCCTTGTTCCAGGATGTGATGAAGGCTTGTCTGTCACTAATGTCTCCTTGTTCCAGGATGTGATGAAGGCTTGTCTGTCACTAATGTCTCCTTGTTCCAGGATGTGATGAAGGCTTGTCTGTCACTAATTTCTCCTTGTTCCAGGATGTGATGAAGGCTTGTCTGTCACTCATGTCTTCTTGTTCCAGGATGTGATGAAGGCTTGTCTGTCACTAATGTCTCCTTGTTCAGGATGTGATGAAGGCTTGTCTGTCACTAATGTCTCCTTGTTCCAGGATGTGATGAAGGCTTGTCTGTCACTAATGTCTCCTTGTTCAGGATGTGATGAAGGCTTGTCTGTCACTAATGTCTCCTTGTTCAGGATGTGATGAAGGCTTGTCTGTCACTAATGTCTCCTTGTTCAGGATGTGATGAAGGCTTGTCTGTCACTCATGTCTTCTTGTTCCAGGATGTGATGAAGGCTTGTCTGTCACTCATGTCTTCTTGTTCCAGGATGTGATGAAGGCTTGTCTGTCACTCATGTCTTCTTGTTCCAGGATGTGATGAAGGCTTGTCTGTCACTCATGTCTTCTTGTTCCAGGATGTGATGAAGGCTTGTCTGTCACTCATGTCTCCTTGTTCAGGATGTGATGAAGGCTTGTCTGTCACTCATGTCTTCTTGTTCCAGGATGTGATGAAGGCTTGTCTGTCACTAATGTCTCCTTGTTCCAGGATGTGATGAAGGCTTGTCTGTCACTAATGTCTCCTTTGTTCCAGGATGTGATGAAGGCTTGTCTGTCACTAATGTCTCCTTGTTCAGGATGTGATGAAGGCTTGTCTGTCACTAATGTCTCCTTGTTCAGGATGTGATGAAGGCTTGTCTGTCACTCATGTCTCCTTGTTCAGGATGTGATGAAGGCTTGTCTGTCACTAATGTCTCCTTGTTCAGGATGTGATGAAGGCTTGTCTGTCACTAATGTCTCCTTGTTCCAGGATGTGATGAAGGCTTGTCTGTCACTAATGTCTCCTTGTTCCAGGATGTGATGAAGGCTTGTCTGTCACTAATGTCTCCTTGTTCCAGGATGTGATGAAGGCTTGTCTGTCACTAATGTCTCCTTGTTCAGGATGTGATGAAGGCTTGTCTGTCACTAATGTCTCCTTGTTCCAGGATGTGATGAAGGCTTGTCTGTCACTAATGTCTCCTTGTTCCAGGATGTGATGAAGGCTTGTCTGTCACTCATGTCTCCTTGTTCAGGATGTGATGAAGGCTGTGTCTGTCACTAATGTCTCCTTGTTCCAGGATGTGATGAAGGCTTGTCTGTCACTAATTTCTCCTTGTTCCAGGATGTGATGAAGGCTTGTCTGTCACTAATGTCTCCTTGTTCCAGGATGTGATGAAGGCTGTGTGTGTCGCTAGTGTCTCCTTGTTCCAGGATGTGATGAAGGCTTGTCTGTCACTCATGTCTCCTTGTTCCAGGATGTGATGAAGGCTTGTCTGTCACTAATGTCTCCTTGTTCCAGGATGTGATGAAGGCTTGTCTGTCACTCATGTCTCCTTGTTCCAGGATGTGATGAAGGCTTGTCTGTCACTCATGTCTTCTTGTTCCAGGATGTGATGAAGGCTTGTCTGTCACTAATTTCTCCTTGTTCCAGGATGTGATGAAGGCTTGTCTGTCACTCATGTCTTCTTGTTCCAGGATGTGATGAAGGCTTGTCTGTCACTAATGTCTCCTTGTTCAGGATGTGATGAAGGCTTGTCTGTCACTAATGTCTCCTTGTTCCAGGATGTGATGAAGGCTTGTCTGTCACTAATGTCTCCTTGTTCCAGGATGTGATGAAGGCTTGTCTGTCACTAATGTCTTCTTGTTCCAGGATGTGATGAAGGCTTGTCTGTCACTCATGTCTCCTTGTTCCAGGATGTGATGAAGGCTTGTCTGTCACTAATGTCTCCTTGTTCCAGGATGTGATGAAGGCTTGTCTGTCACTCATGTCTTCTTGTTCCAGGATGTGATGAAGGCTTGTCTGTCACTCATGTCTCCTTGTTTCAGGATGTGATGAAGGCTTGTCTGTCACTCATGTCTTCTTGTTCCAGGATGTGATGAAGGCTTGTCTGTCACTCATGTCTTCTTGTTCCAGGATGTGATGAAGGCTTGTCTGTCACTCATGTCTTCTTGTTCCAGGATGTGATGAAGGCTTGTCTGTCACTCATGTCTTCTTGTTCCAGGATGATGGCAATGACTCAGATGACTTTATGTGACTGGGACACATGAAGGTTAAGGACGCCCATGACATCCTGGACACACCACTTGAACAATATCAAGGGAATCCGCCATGCTCATGGGTCAGGGAAGGCCAACAGTTCCACCACATGCCAACAATGATCCAATCACTGTGTGTTCTTCTACCGTGGGATGTGGTTTTTACCAATCACGTCAATGGTTACACACGGGTCAAAGCATGGAAACAGTTGGCCAGATTGGAAGATTTTGTGATCGAGTGCTAGTGAGATTTTAAAGCCTCATAATTGAGAAATCACCAGGTGGACATTCAGAACTGTGATCTATATGGACAAGTCCTGCGCATCATTAGGAGATGAGGTGTGTGTGAGTTGGATGTGTGACCTGCTCATATTAGTTGACTTCAGTGATACAAGAGTCAGTATCTGATATCTATATGTGATATACCCTGCTTTGTGCCTTGAGGGGAAAAATGCCAGCATCTGATGTCACGCCAGTAATGTCAAGCCACAGCGACTGTTGTCAACTGTTGCCCAGTCTCAAGGCTACAACATGCATCGCTTGGAACATTGATTCATTCTATCACTGTCAACAAGCCCCATCGGCACAGGCTCATTCAGTGTGCGAAATAGCCACCGGCCCGCTAGCCTGTGGCTAGTAAAAATCCAGTCGGGCCAGTAAATCTCCACAGTCACTGGCTCAATGATGAAACCTGTGTCTACATTTAAATTTCGGGCATAGCGAAGTATTTTGTGGGCTAGCAACTTTCAGGCATAGCTAGCCCGACTGGCTAGCAAAATATGGAACCTTTTTCGCACACTGGGCTCATTATAAGAGTTGGTTTACAGATTACATCGTCCTAAGACCTTCCTGCTGCTCCAGCTAAGAACTGAATAAAACCTTACATATTTTAGCTGAATTTACAGATACCCCAACCAAAATAATTGAAAATTAGAAAATATATACAATTAAGGTCTTTACATACTGCCAGTGGTAAAGGTAATTAATTTGGGACAATAAAAACAACAGTGAAATGCTGCTGTCAGGTTTCCAAATTTTATTTATGATGATCCACACCATGATTTACCATCTATCCTATCTATTGTTTTCACATGCCAATTCTAATCAAACTTTAAGATGAATTAAAAAATACTGTACTGTTCAGTCTTACCAACCAAATATTTTGCTATCCAAATTTGTAAACCCCAAAAGAGAAAATCTGGTCTGTTGACAAAAGGAATGGCTTTTCCCTTCCATCATTTCTTGTAGGCATTTTTATTTATTAAGTACAAAAGTAATATTAAGATACAGTCAAATCTTTGCAAGTAGAAACTAGATAAAAACAAGAAAAGTAAGATATGTAGGTACTGCTTTAAGGATATCCAACAGCATACTTTATGCAGGGCTCCAGATAATTTTTGAACACCAGGAGTACGTACTCCTTATTTTTTCAATATAGGAGTACTCGAAAACCTTAAGCCTACATTTAGAGTACTGAATGGAAATAATGGAGTATCAGTTTCGTTTCATATATGCACCACAACATTGCTAGTCTTGTGTAAACAGGTCAATATACAATAAAACAAATACTTTTTCAGATAAATACGTCTGTAAATGATTCTAAGACCGTACACCATTACCGTGATGCGTATCTGCTACGTTTTATAAATTATTTCCTACCTTATCCGTACATACGCTGATACGGCCCTTATCTGGAGCCCTGCTTTATGTATGCATCTTAATTTTACGCTCATGTATGATAGCTCTTAGCATTTGTTCAGACAATGAAACATTCAAGACACAGTATATGTACCTCACAGAATATTCTGTTACTTATTGGTCTTTCCTATGTTCAAGCTCTAATACTTTCAGCATTGTTCAGTTTTCCAACCAACCAAACCTACTTTCAGTTTTAGACTCTCATTTGTCAGATCTCTCACTTTGTAGTGATCTGTGTGATTTACCATTCTTCATAACTTATTACTTTAGTTTCTTCCCTTGTTTATACTGTACAGTGATGTAATTATTGTAGACATTAATACATTTACATGTTTACATCGTTTTAAATTTTCTTTTGAAAAATATTGAGTTTAGCATGTATTGACTGCCAATTATTGTTGAGTTGTACATTTGGAAATTACTTCAGTACTTCTTAGTGAAATTTATGGTCTTAGAATCTGTAAGCTAACCCTTCATATTTTATTTCAAGACAATGTCAAATGTTATATTTTTTCCAATCAAATAAAAATTATCCAGTTGTATAACCATGATTTAAATAAGTGGTTTGTTATGTGATTTTTGGTTTATTTCAAATGAATTTTTGTTAACTTTCTGATGGAATGTTTCCACCAGTTATTTTGATTACCGGTATAAGAAACAAAGTAAAACCTGGAATACAAATTTGTAAAGTGTCTGACATTTCATTACTCATATTGGGTAGGTGAATGTATGTTATTCAGTTTGCTTCTTTCTTATCTATCTTACTGTACTGTAACATGATGCCAGTATGGAGCCCAGTACAGTATTAAATCAAAAATGTATAGGAATATCTCAAACACATTCCACTTGACCTTGACCGGTGCTTGTGTACAGGTCACAGGTCAAATATCCAGTTAACCTTACTCATTAGGCCACAACAACTTGTTTTGTTCTTCATGTTTATCACAGCTCTCTCAACCACTTTCCTCATGAAGAATTGATCTTCAGTAACCCATGCTAAATGTAATGCTAGGTTTAGTGTCTTCTACTTGTGAAGATCCGGGTTATAATTGGTCTTCAGCAGCCAAAGCTTGTCGGAACAGGCGACTAACGGGATCGGGTGTCAGGCTCACTGACTTGGTTGACACATGTCATCGTAGCCCAAATCTGGGTGTGTCAGCACCATACCCGTCTGTGTGGATTTCACCGAAGTGGTAAATGTCTGAGACTAGCATTGCTTTGGGCTTTGCTCTCACATCATGCTAACACTGTTATAAAACTTGCATATAGTTCATAGCAACTAAATCTTTGAACTAACTTTACCTGTCTTTTAAATTTTCAACAACTCTGAATAAGAGTGAGATGGATATAGCAATTATAAGAAGGAATAAAATTTGACCAGTGTTTCTGAGAAATATGTTATTTGTAAACAACAAACATCACTGGATGCTTTTGCAAAAAAAATCTGACACACAATTTGTTAGTTTGTTGTTATCTCTACAAAACTTTCAGCTGAGGCATTTCAAAACTTGATTTGTTTGTCTTTTCTCGTTATGAAACGTGTACTTTTCTGACTTGAGATACTAGTGGGGGCGGTGGGGTAGCCTAGTGGTTAAAGCGTTGGATCGTCACGCTGAAGACCCGGGTTTGATTCCCCACATGGGCACAATGTGTTAAGCCCATTTCTGGTGTCCCCCGCCGTGATATTGCTGGAATATTGCTAAAAGCGGCGTAAAACTAAACTCAGTCAGTCAGTGAGATACTAGTGTGCCCACACTCTGTCCAGTCTTGGTACCACAGCGACTCCTACTTCTGGATGTAGTCCAATTCTGCTGGATGTGCTAGGGCTGTGAGGGGCAGTGGAGTAGCCTAGTGGTTAAAGCATTTGCTAGTAACACCGAAGACCTGGTTTCGATTCCCCACATGGGTACAAGCTGATGTGTGAAGCTGATTTCAGGTGTTCCCCGCCATGAAATATTGCTTAAAGCAGTGTAAAACTAAACTCACTCATTCACTACAAGGGCTGAGTGGATGGTTGTCAGAGTGTTGTGCTTTCTTCATCGTTACTTGTCAAGTATGTTATTGTAATTCCGATATGATATACATCCCCTTTACACGCATGCCTCCAAAACAGTGTTGCAAAAATAGCGTCACAATATCCATTCTATTGTATTGCTAACCAACTGAAAAATTCTGTTGCTGAAGAACACCCAATCAAAATTTCACGTTACTACAAACTGTAGTTTAACAGATCATTATTAGCTGGAATGGGCCAAAATAGGATATCTGAATTCCATCGTTTTTAATGTTAAAAAAATCATAATGCAATGGATGGTTAATGTTATACATGCATCCCAATAGAGTTTGAGAATGCACCGAATGATTTACACAGTGACTCACGGGGGATAGAAAAGAATATGTGGGTCTGTATCTTTGAATTAAGTTAATTTTTTGTAACCATGGTAGCATACACATAATATTTTAATTCCTTTCCCTAAGGACCATGTAATAATGATAACAAACTGAATGAATTGCAGTGTCAGTGTTAGCTTTTGTCAATATACAAACAGACTACATTTTGGATGTATCTGCACTCACTGCTTATATCACTTGCCACTGCTTGCGAAAAGATTATCTTTCCTGATGTGTTTATTTAAATCACAATGAACTGTAGACACTGTCAGTCAGTAAATTGTATGCCATTACTGATATTGAAATTGGCTTGAAAACGATGGGGTCTTTTATCAGATGTATTTATTTAAGTCACAATGAACTGCAGATACTTCAGTGTTGGTTTATGGTACTACATTACCGATAACATCACCTGGTTAACTGATGAAGGGAGGAGTGATAGTGTGCTGAAACTGGATATTGTGTGAATGCATGTTAGGTTTACCTTGCATTCCATGGGGCTTTGAAACATGCACTAAGTAAATGTTGATATAAGGGTAAAATTGGGAAGGGTAGTAATGGTGTAGATCTCAAACAAACTTCTGTGTTTTACAGAATACCTGCTATCTTTGATATACTGCTCAAATTACCTTCATGTTTTACATGTAATATGACAATGATGACTATCAGAAATGGATATTGACATGTTATTTACCCACATAATATTTTCCTTAATTTGTTACCTCCATAATTTGGTAATTAGGCCAGACTAGATTTCAAATTTGGTTACAGATGCACTGTCTCCCAAACCTTGAAATTGAAAATAGAAAATGAAATCAGTAGGTTTATATTCTGCCGAAAAGAAATAAGTAAATTCATGTACTGTTGCTAATCCAGCCAAGACATACATTGTTATTTCATACCCTATTCTATGCCACTCCAACTACCAATTCTCCCTGTTCCCCATTCCACCCTCTCCCCGTTCTACTCCATAACTGAAAAAGGTCTGTCCTGATGACTAGAATAATTATCCTTCCCAACGACTTATCTCAAGTTAAATATGGATGCAGATATATCTCATTTATGATCTATTGTCAACATGATATTTCCAGGTGTGCTCTTTGAAAATTTTCAAAGTTTTAAACATCATTAACTCACATCAATTCAGTCTTTGTTTACAGGACAAACTGACATGTAGTCAGATAGTGTTCAAAGAATCATGAAACTAACCCCCTCATCAAAATACTTTTATATATACAGACCTGCTTGGTCATCTACAACATATTGAAAGGAAAACCAAGTTCTATGGATGGTGAACTTCTTTATTGCAATGAGGGGGACGTTTCGGGTAGGTACCAACACCCATATCAAGCAAGTGTTAGTACCTACACCAAAACGTCGCACTCATTGCAATGAAGAAGTTCACTATCCATAGAACTTGGTTTTCCTTCACCTATACAAGTTCTAAAATACCTCTCAAAGAAGTTAAAACATAATTACTTGAATATGTTGAGTATTGTGAATAAAACACATACTGTTTGCTGCAGATTTGGTGTTATATTCTGGGTAACTCAACTGGAGTAAACCCCACTATGAACCTAAGACAGCACACCAGGTACCACAACCATACTAGTGTGTCAAGGATGAATCTATAATATGCAAAGGCTGTACTGAATATGCACTTGAAACTAATTAAAATATTCTTAAACTTTCTCACTGACTTTGTTGTCTGTTTCGTAAAGAGATGTTTTTTGTTTGTTTTACCTGCACTCAGCAATTATCCAGCTACATTATGCTATATACACGTATAATATAGTCTGGACAAGGAAATTTTATCAAGACATGGAAATAAATTACAGAATAACCAACAATTATTTGTACATTATTTCATGAGCTCAGATAATACATGAGTTTTTTTTACTAGCCAAATTATTTACCTAAATAAATGTGTACAAAAGGGGCTTTCGTGATCACAAGTGGATACATCACCACAAGCTATTGATTGTTTGAAAGATATTGCATAAAACAGCTGGTGACTCCAAGGACAATGAATGCCATCTTTTATAATGATGATAATAATAATACTGATACCATGATAATGCACCAGGCTTCATTCACCAAATTGAATGCATGAATCCTTATTACCCAGGTCGAGTGGCTTGATTTTAATTCTCAGCTCCCTGTAAGATCAAATCTCCCGTGGCCATCTCATCATACCTGGTCTCCATTCACTGCTGGGTGAACATCACTTCGGGCTTCCTCGTCAGCCAATGACATGCCAGGATATAACAGTAATACTGTACATGTAATACTAACAGTGCTCAACCTTAAACTTAACTTGCGAGCTGATGTGTAAATCCTGTTGTAGAATATGTGAAGCGTTACTAAGTTTCCAAGTATCAAATATGAATTACCCATGAGAAATTGTCCTAAAAGAAAGTTTGCTTCTCTGTTGAAAACAAACTAGATCTGACTAACATTCCTTTTAGCCGTTATTCCTCTGCATTTTATCAACAATCATGCAGTTTTCATCTCCCAAGTCGGGAAAGATGCAGATTAAGTCCATAGCAACATATTTTTCATAAAAAATATCCCACAAAAAGCGATCTAAACACATTTAGAACCAAACTAATTAAAACATTACTTTCTAAAAAATTAAATAAATTCTTAAATTATATTCGATAGTCGACTGATATTATCACTATAGAAAATACACTAAGAAAAACGCGTGCGATTGATCACTTGTAATATAATTCATATTTGACAGGCCGATATAGCTGGAATAGGACAGCATAGGCGGATCCAGAGGGGTGGGGGGTGCAGGGTGCGCACCCTCCCATTTGTCCTGAAATTTTATTAACTGACCATTGAAACTCTCGTGAAAATGAAGTGTGCACACCCCTTTCTCAAGATTGTGCACCCCTACTTTCTCAATAAACTGGATCCGCCCCTGGACAGAGATGGGTCAGGTGTCAGTAAAACTAAACGTTGGGGTTTCTACTCAAACTTCAGAAACAGTGTAAACAATTTTTACATAAAGTCATGACACAAATGTGGACAAATCGTCACAATGCATATCAAGTCGACCAATGGAAGTTTGTCAAAATGGGAATTTGAGTGGGCACTGTATCGCGATTGTATCAAAATTTAACTCTCATTAACTTAAATCCAACCTACACCTAAAGGCTAAACTTGCAAGTACACGCAAGGTTTCAGAAAGAAAGTTTGTGTCCGTGCAGAGACTGAGAATAAATCATTTGGGTATTTTCTTTTTGGGGAAATTACTCGTTGAATTTCGTTCGCTGTCAGCAATATTTCAACTGTTTCACGGCTGCCTGAAATCCTGAGCAACGGCTGCCTGAAATCCTGAGCAACATGCCCATGAAGATCCGGGTTACAATTGATCTACAGCAACCCATGCTTGTCGTAAGAGGCGACTAACGGGATCGGGTGGTCAGGCTCGCTGACTTGGTTGACACATGTCATCGTATCCCAATAGTGCAGATCGATGCTCATGCTGTTGATCACTGGATTGTCTGGTCCAGACTCTATTATTTACAGACCGCCGCCATATAGGTGGAATATTGCTGAGTGCGGCGTAAAACTAAACTCACTCACACCTGAGCAACCATCCATATATTTAGGGACACTATGACACGCGATCCACCGAATCTGTCCAACCGATTTTTTCGTCAACTCACACAAGTATGTGAGAACTCCTCTTTCCTGGACTCTCGGGGCAGTGGGGTAGCCTATAGTGAGGAAAAGGTTCACACCAACGTCCAAAGGTCTATTTCCCACATGGGTACAATATGGTGGCTGATTAGGGCCATCGCTTTCTCGCCTTAAAATTCGGAGGCGAGAAAGCAAGAAAGCGATATCACGAGACGAGAAAGCGATAACGCGACGAGAATCGCTTTCTCGCCTCCGAATTTTAAAGCGATGGCCCTAATCAGCCACCATAGTACAATGTGTGAATGTACGTTGTCCCCCGCAGTGATATTGCTGGAATATTGTTAAAAGCGGCATAAAACCATTCACACTCACCCACACCGTGACCTTCAAAATGATCCCAGTTTTCAGAATAATATGCTTTGCTTGTGAGAAAAAGAGACATGTTGTGTAACTCTGACCAGACAGTCACGGCTGGGTCGCCGTATCAGTATGATATATAGCAGAAAAGTGAAAGACCCGATGGAGCTGATTTAATGATACAATGTAATAATAAAAGCAAAGAAAGATTCAGGCTCAAGTTGTGAAATCTGCGTGGTTATCACCTGATACATTTGACCAGACAGCCGAATATTCACCATTTACTTTCTTATTCTATAAAATAAGCAGTGTTTTTCAAGCTGTTCATGGAGCTTATAATCCGAAACAAATAAATAAATAAAAATGCTACTGACAATTTGAAATGAGGCGTACTTTATATATAATTAAAATATTAAAGACCTATTTTTTTCATGATAAACCTTATTCGAAAACGTATATATAAACACGTGCGCGCGCGTTAACACACACAAACATAGCGAGTTCTTTTTTTCCAGAGGGAGCCTGTGGAGTTGTACGCAACGAGTTCTCCCCTAGTCACGTGACATTACTTAGAAACCATAAACAAGATGGCGAGAAAGGAAGCCTTGGTCAACGACTTGAAAGATGAACGTGTCCCACCTGCTATACAATGGACAACTGATCACGTTTCAGACTGGATAGAAGATCTAGGATTTCCCCAATATAAGGTTTAACAAGAATGCACAATATTAAATATTTTTTATGCATAATGGTTGAATTTACTTCGTACTATAAAGATTCTAAGTCCGATTTTCGATCAGTAATCGTTTTGATATTGTTGTTGTAATGGAACACTCTCTTCACAGGTAGATATTTTGATTAGGTTAATATTCTACAGAAAAACCTATTATCCTAAATAATATGGTAAATGTTATGCTAGGTTTAGTGTCTTCTACTCGTGAAGATCCGGGTTATAATTGGTCTTCAGCAGCCAAAGCTTGTCGGAACAGGCGACTAACGGGATCGTGTGGCCGGCTCTCGGCTAGCCGGCTCGCTTACTTGGTTGACACATGACATCGTATCCCTGTTGCGTAGATCAAGGTTCATACTGTTGATCACTGGATTGTCTAGTCCAGGATCTAGATTATTTACAGGCTGCCACCATATAGCTAGAATATTGCTGAGTGTGTGTGGCGTTAAACAACAAACAAAACATATACACTTTATCAAGATTTACATACTGTTTTTAGCTTACTTTGGGCAAAACAGTCAACTGTTTCCACTGTTTAACTAAGTAATTAATAAATGTAAGTTGGTTCATATAGACTGGAGATAGGCTTCAAAATATAACAGAGTGTCTGAAATAAGCCAAAAACCCAGCCAGACATCAGGGCTGGTAACTTCAAAATGTTACCAGCCCAAAATGGATTTAACCAGACCAGACACCAAGATATGTATGGAACATCTAACATATTACCCGACCATCGGACTGGCTAGCTGTAGATTAGACCGTCCGTCAGAAATCCAGCCCGTCTCGGGCGGTCGGACGGGCCTTATTTCATACACTCTATAACAACTTGCTGTCCCTTTTTTTCAGCCATGTTTCACAACAAACCAGATTGATGGAAGAAAACTAATAGAAATAGAAGCATCTGCCTTTCCAAATATTGGTATTACAGACTTTGAACATATTAAGGTATGGTTGAATCACTTGGTAGAAATGACCTCTGTGTTTTTGTCAATAGAGCGACTGGAAAGGAAGAATGGTCGTTCCGTCCTCTGGCTGTGTCATGCCTAAAGATGTTAAAAAATGTTACTTTTACCTTGCCTGTCATTTGGCACAAAGGGACAAAACTAGGAGTGGTAAGATTGAAGTCAGTATAATGTGAAGTAAATGGTTCCCTAATTTGTTGTCGGATTAACGTGATTGTCGGATTAATGAGTTTTGGATTAACGAGAGCTGACTCTATGCAATTTAAACATTGGCATTATATCTCTACTGGCTAGCACTTAATAAAACAAAGCTGGACAAATACAAGCCTCCTCACGCCTTAGTGAAATGATACTGAATAACATGTTTAATCATGCTTCAAACCATTTTGTATTTTGAAACAGAATCTGTATATATGGAAATATTCGATCCTAGTCCTAGAAATAATTTTAATGAAAAAATTTTCAGCATCGTGCAATGTGTCGGTTGATGTATTTTACATTGATTCTGTTTTCCAGATAATTGCTAAGAGCATAAGAGATTTACTACTGCTGGAGGAACCTGACTGGACTAGAAGTATTTCCATACCACCAAGAAGTGACTTAGGTAAGGAAGAAACAAACAGTGGGTCCTTCCTCATTGTTCATTTACACTGACAGAATATGATGTTAGGCATCCTACATGTGTACATATCATAGAGTTGTTAACCTCAGAACATGTATAGTATTTTAGTATAAAAATATAACTGCTTAAGATGTACCGGTATTTTCATATATTTTCACAATGTTACACACCCATCTTGCTTGCAGCAACTAAATCTGAAAAAGTAAAATTTAAACAATGTCTGTAAACATGCAATATTTTTGAAAGCAGTCAGTGTTACAAACACATGCTTTGCCAATAGACTGACTAGATTGAAGAGTAACTGTGGTAACAGTAGGCTGTGTTAACGACATTTTAAATGATTCAACAAATGAAGGAAATTGATTGGACTTTTATTGGTATGTCTACTCTGGCGCAGTTACTGGAGGAAAGAAACAATGTCTTAATAAAACATATAATATTTATTGATCAACATGGTCATCCATGGGAGTAATAATCATATAATAATCACACTCTGAAATGAAACTTTTCGTGATAAACCTCTGTTGGCTTGAAGATAAGTGTTTCAGCAAGCTTAAGGACTGCAGAGCTCCAGATAAGATTTAGCTCATGTGGGTACTGTACCCACTGTATTTTTGGAGTGGGTATTAAAAATGTTGAGTGGGTATCTCAATTTCCGTTACCCACTGCTTTCAAATATGTGCGTATTTCAGTCATTTTACTCACTTAAGTATTATTTCATTCTATACTGATAGCAATCGATGTCATTTTCATTACGCAAGTGATTTTTATAAATATATTCCGTACGCATTTGTTTTAAACTTTTTGCGTATCTAACATTTTAAATGCGTAATTTGTACGCAACAATTATTTTTCAATGCGTAAATGGGAATTTTCTATGCGTATTTTACCCGGATACGCAGCTTATCTGGGCCTCTGGGACTGAATGTCTTAATGTATCGAACAGCGTGGCTACAGCTATAGTGTCTTTTATGTTTAGGCATGTATCTGGAGAAGAAGAGTCAACGGGGGAAGATCATCAACGTGATGACATATCAGCAGTTTCTACTGGAGCACAAGAATGCCAAGTGGCAGCCCCCTCTCGCCAACCACTGCCTGCTGCTGCCCCATGACCCCCCTCCCGCAGAGATTACCCAGTCATAGCACACACACGTTCCATGATTGGCAGGGTCCTACCGACAGCTGACATTCTACTTATCAATGAATAACACAAATACAGTTGTTTACTTTTGACTGCCAACAAACCCAGTCTTCCTTTCAAAGAAGTCTGGACATGAACACTTATACCATATTAATAATGTTTTATTTATTACAATATAGCCACTATATTGGCATCTGTATTATTTCTTGACGGTTATGACTGTATTATGGCAGCTTTTGCATTGAGTTCCCACTATGGTAATCACTGTTGTCAAAATATAGTTACCTTTCAGATATAGTAGACATTCCCTGATAGAGATTACCACTGAAATAGGACTGGCTGAGATGAACTGAAAGCAGTCATGATACACTGATATTAAAAAATAACTTAATATTGTTTTGTCCAATTATGTCAGAATGACTTTATCTAATGACTATTCCATTTCCTAGGTTATATCATGGCAAATTGAACCCTATATGCTTGGCCAGTACCTGTTCTATTCTATTTGAATCCATACAATGCCTTCCACTGTATAACCTCCAAAGGTTAACGTTGTTGTCTGTCAATCCCAACAAACAAAACACTCCCTTACAGTGGCTTCCTGGAGTTGGTAACTGTTAGTGCCAGTAGGTGCCACAATGTGTTATCTACATTATCAGGGTGATTATTGTGTACCAAGATTATTAATAGTGAAGTCTTTGGTGAGAAGTCTTCTCATTGAAGATCCTTATGTATAGGATTTTTTTTCTCGAAGTAAATGTTCTTTTTTTCCCAGTTTATGAATGTATTGTGTTGTTGTCAATAAAATTTTATCTTATGTGTAGAGTACTACAGACTTCTGTTGATTATTTGTCCATTGAAATGCGTTCAATATTCTTTGACAACCAAGCACTCTCGGACTTCAGGGTGAATAAATGCATATTACTCACCGACTCACTCACTTACACATATGACATATTATAGTACTGCATTTCATGAAGATATCTATTCCACAAACAACAGAAGAATGTTATCAGCACTGTTTTCTTTATTTGTACAAATGGCCACTTAGCCATGTGTTAGGTTTCAGTAGAAAAAAATATTGTCAAAGAAATGTTGCTGTCATGATCCAATTTCAATAACATAAGGTCCACCATGTCACAATGAAAGGGGCAAGAAGCTTGAACTAAAGTTGACAAAAATGTAAATTCCATACCATAATAGATCCCCAGCATCCCATACTTTAGGCATAAACTTGTGAATCTATATTGACACATTAAATTATTTCGGTGTGGCACCAGGCGGATATAACTGCATGTACCTCTCCTCGAGTTTTGGGAGGCCATGACTTGGAGCATGTATATTGCTGTCTGTGATGCAAAACAACATTTACAGGTTGGCTCACCAAGTATGGACTAGGGAAAGTTTAACAAAGATTATCATGTGATGTCTGCAGCAATTCTCATGGCTCACGAAGTCCAGTATCACAGTTGATTAAGACTCTTTCAGGAGGGTCCTCTGTCTTGTAGACTCCTGGTAATGAATGTCTTGGGACACTGTTTGGACCAGGGTCATCATATAGTGTTGAGATGAATAGTAAATCTTAGGTTCAGGCCATGTACAATAAAAAGTCAAGCAGTCACTACCAATGTTATAAGTAGGAACAGGCTATCTGTATCAACAGCCCCAATAACAATCTGTACATCCAGTATATCGCATAGTGGTCATATCTCCATCATTCGGTCCACATCGATGATGGCTTCATTTGTAAACTTGCCTGAAACAGAAATAACTTGAGATATTGGGATGGAAATATTGTTTCAACTTTATATAATATTCGTCTTCAGAGTTCCATACATGGAGAGCATGGCACCTCCCAGACTGACTGCCGCCATGTGACAATTCATCAAATCTTACAGAGTCCATTCAATATATTGCAAATGTTTTTCAACTGTTTTATTTCTGAGGAGTCTAGGCATTAGACACTGTGAAAATATCCTAATATGTGTAGCTCTATTTTGATTTGTGGAGCTATCTTTGTTTACTGTGGTTGTGCGTGTGTCGTTGAAGACCTACAGAGAGTTAACGATACATTAACGTCACTTTGATAGATAAATACGTATTGTCATCCACCGTACTGTCACAGCTGTAGTAGAATATCTATGTAACTATGCATAACCATACTAAGAGAGCACTGTAAAGCTTGCATTAGGCCAATCTGTTCTGATTTTAGATTAAACAGAGAAACATCTGTGCACATGTAAACCCCCCTATGGCAGTGACTTTATGCTTTGGCTGTTCAAAACCGTTTTCATTTTGGGGTTATCCCATCAAATTGGAAAGGAACTACACACACAAACAAATGAATGCTCATAGTATTCATAACGGTTCATACTATGACATAACACACAATACATACCCATGGCAATGATGTTCTGAGAGTGACCTACGATACAATCTTTGAGTTCACACTTCTCGGAGATATGAGCCTGTCCACACACAATGCTGCCTTGTAGGTTGGACCTGCAAAATGATCACACTCACTTGATGCAGCTCAGCTCACACAAATCTTACAGCTCACAGGGCTGTGACTACCATAAAACAAGATTCAGAAGGAGGAATGTGGATTAGAATTGGCCCCAAGCAACCTGTTCTATAGTCTGTTTGGCTCAAAAGCGGACCGATGAATTGCAATCTAACTCGAAAACTAATAAACATAAAATACTCAATGAAACGCTGATCATAATCAAAACATCATACCCACTCTTTGAGGTTTTTGCAGAATTTTTGTCCTAAAAATAATAAAGTTGTTTAACAATCTATCATTAAAATATTGACACAGTTCAGTTTGTTACGAGGGAGGAGTGCAGAGAAAGGGACAGCCAGGTGTTCGAGAACGGATGGAGACGGCACAGCACAGGTTAATGAATAAATCAGTCTGTGAACGTGCTTCTCGAACACCTGGCTGTCCCTTTCTCTGCACTCCTCCCTGCAATTCATCGGTCCGCCTTCGAGCCACAAGGACTGTGGTTCTGAGATGATGACTAAAAGGATAGGGTGGTCAGGCATGGAGACTTGTTCGAATGTGTGCCATTGTTTCCTGATCATTACTCACAAAATTGATAACTGGTTTTGTATGTCTCAGAATGGATTAAATACAGGGTGCCATCATAAATGGATGGAATATTGCTGTTTGCAAACAACACGTACACAAATCATTGTTTTGAAACTGCTCATTACAAATTATGTTGAGCAGTGATATAACCATGATAACTTTGCAATCAATGTCTTTGTCATCGTTCATGATCAGCATACATATTCCTCAAATAAATAAACTTTCTCTAACAAGACAGGTTGTCATTAATATAATATGTGTTATATGATTTGAGTATTTAATGCTTATGGTACATACATTTGTGTATTTGTTACTGTATGCAGTAAAAACAACAACTGTGCTAAAGCACACCCTATGACCATGCAACCAAATGTATTCATACATTCTCTAAATGTAAGACTTAAATAAAATCTTGTCATCTTGAGTTACGATACAGTTAAAAATTACCCTTACCCCTCCATTATGGTCACATGATCCATGATGATGCAGTTAGTGATCTTGACCTTGTCACCTATTGTACAATGCCGTCCTACAACTGACCGCTTGATGGACGACCGCTCTCCAACAATCACTCCCTCACTCACAAGACAATCGGATCCAACCTGTAATGATACACATGTACCATACTGATGCACATAGATGTCCAAACACCAAATCAATTTGACGACATGTCAATTATTCTTTCAGTCTCTAGCCTCTACTTCCGAGTACTCATGAAGATCCGGGTTACAATTTGTCTTCGGCAACCCATGCTGGTCTTAAAAGGCAACTCACGGGATCGGGTTGTCAGGCTTGCTGACTTGGTTGACACATATTATCGCATACAAATTGCATAGATCCAAGCTCATGTCGAGCACTAGATTGTCTGGTCCAGACTGCTGCCATATAGCTGGAATATTGCTGAGTGCGCCATAAGACAACAAGGTAAACTAGTTTCGAGCAGGAGTCTGATACAATTGATTATATCTAGCAAACTTGAATATATTTGTTGATACACAGAAAAATGCTATTGGAAAACAAGTCAGATTGTTTGCTTGTCTGAAACTGATTTCATCAAAGGCTTTTCATCACACACTGACTTTTAGTTTTACACATTGATAAATGGATTCAGCAAATCCACTGCAAATTCACACTTATAGACTCTTTATGGATGAATTAGATTTCCAACCTGTGACTTTTCTTTGATAGTTGCTGATGGATGTACATTATTAATCTCTCTGGATGGAGCTAACACACTGAGCAGCCGTGGAATCTGAAGTCAGAAAATAGAACACAATGCATGTCTGAGGCCAAAGCTGACTATTATGAATCACTTTTTAGTGCCATCTTACAGATACCAAGTGTTACTGAACATTAAGTGTAACTATAAATGCATCAAAATAAAATGTAAAAGTGAACGAAAAAGAGATCTGAAAAATTTAATTTTGGCTTTCACATTTCTCTATTATTTGAAAGCAAGCCTGTGTGTTTATCATTAGGACCTGTGCAAACTGAAAACACAACGGGTCAAACACCAAAAGGATACTTGGAAAGACACCAGACACACATGAAAACCCCTGAATTAAAAGAGTCTATATCTAAAAAACATCGCACATACGGTACCGACCAAATGCTTTACAAAAAAGCATAACATAAAAAAACTAACATGCCACAAATGTTAAATGTCTTTGTTATTAAAGCTATATAATGGCAGCCTGATGTTGATTATTGGTTAGAGTTGAAGGTAATATCCTAAATGCACCTAAATATGTCAAATGGCAGATAGACTTGTTTGATTGTGCATTATCAAACCCTGATAATGAGGACCTTTGCTCACGATATGAATAACTGGTTTGTCTTGAAAAAACTGATTATTACACAGGGCTGATAATGCGCAATGTCACATTTAAGAACCATATAGTGGTGTTCTGTATAAGCTACATGGCCCCTTTCCTGTGTACAGGCAGCAAATGTAAGCAACACTGGTTGCTCACAGTTGTTGGATGGGTGATCGTATTTGGCAGGCTGATTCCTGACAGTTTCCAGGACTTCGGTTCTGACCTACTCTGATGCACATGTAGCACGTGTTGTCTCTTGTGCATGATGAGACAAGTGTCAGTTTGAAATATGCTCCTGTTCATTAGGCTGTGGATGTGTCCTCAGTGGGTACAGAAGATAATGTGACTGTTAACCTTCCAGCACCTCCAAGGCACCCCAGGGAGCTGAGAATGACCATAGACTGCACACTGATTGGAAACAGCACGGTAGCCTAATAAAGTGTTCGATCCCAAGGCCAAATGGCCCAGGTTCAATTCTCTTCATGGATACAATTTGTGAAGCCAATTTCTAGTGTCCCTGCTTTGATAATACTGTAACAGGGCTCCAGATAAGGGCCGTATCGGCGTATGTACGGATATAAAATAAGCACGATACGGTAGGAAACAATTTTAAAATCGTAGCAGATACGGACCACAGCAATGGTGTACGGTTTCAGAATCATTTACAGACGTATTTATCTGAAAAAGTATTGTTTTATTATTTACTGACCTGTTTACACAAGAGTAGCAATGTTGTGGTGCATTATATATGAAACGAAACACAAGATTACTGATACGCCATTACATTCCATTCAGTACTCTAAATGAAATCTTATTGTTTTCCAGTACTCCTATATTGAAAAAATATGGAGTACGTACTCCTGATCATGAAAATTATCTGGAGCCCTGCTGTAATATTGCTATGAGTATCATACAACTCAGTCACTCCACTGACCAGGTAATACAAATAATGTTGTGCATTGTGGTTACCTTATGTGGTGTTGGACTATCGTGTAATATAGTGGTATTTATCAGTATGACAATACTCACTTGTCTGTTAGCTTCACAGTATGTGGCTAGTGTGTTGGCCCGCACACAGAAACCCTTGTCCTGTATGTAAGCATAGCACCGGAAATCTTCACCATGGAAACAGTCGGCCATGTCACCATCATGGTCAATCCATGTGGAGAGTTCCTCGATCAGTGCGGTCATCTCATCACCTTTTCTGTAGCCATGGACATCTGGACACAGGGACAAACAACACTGAGTCATCACACTTTACAAAGCAACAGTCAGTCATACATGTTTTATGTCAACAGTTCAGATACAAGAGATTATTTTATTTTACTGGTTTTGATAGTGTGTTTAGTTCCAAAACATATAAAGCCTTCAAGAAATACAACTATGTTAGGATGATTTAAACTCTTCACACTGATGCAGTTGTTTCATACTATTCAACTGATATCCATCTCGGCTTAGATTGATTTCCGACCCGTGAAGGTCCGCGTTAGAATATTGATCTTCAGTAACCCATGCTTGTCGTAAGAGGCGACTAACGGGATTGGGTGGTCAGGCTCGCTGACTTGTTTGACTCATGTCATTGGTTCCCAATAGCGCAGATCTATGCTCATGCTGTTGATCACTGGATTGTCTGGTTCAGACTCGATTATTTACAGAACGCCGCCATATAGCTGGAATGTTGCTGAGTGCGGCATAAAACTAAACTGACTCACTCACTAGAATGATTTCCATTTAGTATTTAAGTAAAATCAAGGTATGTGAGTTGCACATGCTTCATGTGAGCAAGCAGGTCTAATATATGTAGTCAGTGCTTACTGATCAGCTGAAACCAAAGATCATAACTTGCAGTGAATGTTTAACACAACCCAAAAAGTTTTTCCTAGCAGTAAAGGGAAGCAGCTCTACAGTGCCCGGGCATGACTGTTTCACACATTTACAAGGTAAGGTGACACAAAATAGGGAATAATGTTGTGGTCTTGCAACTTTATAGAGATGTGCTTAACACATGTCAAACATTCTGTGCCCTTCAATGCCAGCCCACTGAAATACCATGCCACAGTTCAATGTTGACACTCTACAGGCTCTCGGAGTACCAGACCCTGTTTCATCAATGCCTAGTGGCATTCAGGGTGGTGAGTGACTGAATGAGTATGGTTTTACACCACGTTTTTAGCAATATTCCAGCAATATCATGGCAGGGGACACCAGAAATAACCACTAGGCTACCCCACCGCCCCACATTCAGGGTAACACCCTTGGGTTGTGATCGAACCATCAGCCTTCCCTTGTTTGTGTGGATGCTCTACCCATATGACCATGGTTGTATACATTTGCAAACCTCTGATATCAATGCATAACATTACCAACGAGAAGTGTGCTATTATTACATTCCAGTCAGTCTACAATTCTAAAGAATAGCTTTTGATAAATGAGTAGCACAAATACATACATGCAATATTTGTAATCAGTTGCTTTACATCTTTGACACGACAATATCATGTGCCCATACCTGTCTTGGTATCCATGGAGACGAGTGACATGTTAGTGTTGTGGAGATCTGTTTCAGGAGGCTTGGGTTTAGTAAACTGGCGCTTGATCAAGTATGGCAGGAGTTCACTCTTTATTGTTGATAGTTTTCTGCATCAATGATAATGAATGGGTTACTCTAAAGCAACTATATAAAATATGCTGTTAACTTGAATTGAATGCAAATACAAATATGGTATGCACAAATACAATGTATATAAATCAGGTATATTTTATTTGAGGCACCTCTCCTAATGGCTACAGCTGCTGAAGACTACCTGGAAGCAGGGCTAGCTGTACATTATATAGAATGGTAATTACCGTATGAACTTAATATTGATCGATTATGGATAAATATAGGAGAAGTAACTGAAAAAAAAATGCCGAAACATTCTGAGAGAAAGCAACATATATTTCACATCACTGGTGAGTGGTGATATATTTATTCATTGATTATTTATCCTAAACATGATTTAGAAGTAGGCCATGAATAAAGGCCTAACTTTGTGCATTGTTTGAATAAATAAAAAACATATTTCATAGGAGTTATTATGATATTACGATGATGCAATTTTCAAATCAATAGCCATAACAAATTTTCCCACCAACAATATTTCCGACTATCAATCATCTTAGTCAGCCCTATCTGGAAGTGCACTGGTCTATAGCATGTCTTACGTGTTTTCTCCAAGAAAGTCCACTACCCACTTCTTCAATATATACAAATGGCAGTCGGTTAACTTGGAACGTATACTGATGCATGGGTGCCTGAAAGGACAAAATATACAAACAATCACGCTGGATTGTGATGAACAGACATGAGTTGTCTTTCCACCATTACAGACCTACAATCACAACACGGGTTATCATACCTCGTACACATATATATATCAAGTTCCAAATGTCATTATTGCTAAGCAAGAAATTATATTAAATAAATTCAAGCTTACTTTTTTAAAACAGATTTCCTAAAATTGACGGTTTCTTCAAGGTCAACTTCAGAAGTGTAGAACAGAACCCGCTTCCCATTCTCATCCAAGCCAATGAAATCCCGCTCTGAAATAGAAAGCGTGTGTTATAGCATTATCCCTTAGAACCTGGTCCTCTCATCTTACTTCACACTTACATGTGCTTCAATCTATCAAGACTGCCTCATGGTCTAGTGGAAGGGCAGTGGTTTTGAAAGATGGTACTTATTGTTCCACTGCTGGGCACACAATGCTTGAATGTGGTATTATGTTAAACAGTTCCTGACAGACCTTCCAAGTCATTAGCCTTACAAGCTTCTGTCATCTGTGCAGAGTTGTGTCCCCTTGTTCGATTTGAATTTGCAGTTGGCTTGTCAATGTCAGATTCGCGGTAAATGTCAAAGACCTGAATCAGTATGACTTGTTTCCAGCATTGTCCACTTAATCCTGATACATTGCTATACAATAAAACCTCTGTCCAGAGCCACTCTACCCATTGCCTCGCAATCATCAAACAAAATACTTCTCAGGATGGCTACCTTAACAATCATGACCCAAGGAGACTAACACCAGTTTCTACTGACATCTTCTTCCTGGCAAACACCACTTCCTCCACAACTCACCCCTCTTCCTCTTGGACTTGATGCCGGGTACTGCCACCTCAGCATACTGCTCCGGAAGGGGAGATAACAACATGGTGAGGGAAGAATCGTACGCTCTGTGAACATTGGCCACTTGGTGGAGACTAATGTCAGAGATGAGGTCACAACTCACTATCAACACGTCTGTCTGAAATATATAGAAGAATCATCTTTCCTGTAGAAACTTCTGGAATTCATGAATACACATTGCCATTTACCAAGTGGTCAAGTGTAACATATGTTTACCGAGAAAGTGCAATCCCAAATATCAGATATGTAATATTCTGGAATGAATATTCAGCAGACATTTATAATCCAGCAAAACAAACTGTATCATATGCATTATGATTATCTTGGTAATGATAGTAACAAACGTAGATGCTAAGGTGAGGTGAAGTGAAATAGGGTTTTACGTCGTGCTTGAGAATATTTCGCTCATATGACGACGTGCATGCGTGTGTATGTGTATGTGCAGCTGCGTGTACTAGCCCAGACTTAAGCTGGTTTTTAGTGCTAGCCCACTGAGATACCATGCTGCAGTGAAGCATGAATACCCCACTCAGACACAGTATACTGACTCCGAGCCGACCAGTCCTTGTTGTACCTATTAATGCCAAGCGCCAGGCAGGGACCAACAAGTACCATATTTTAACGTCTTTTGGTATGACGCGGTCGGGGATCGAACCCGTGACCTTCCGCTCTCCGGGCGGAGGCTCTAACCACTACACCACGGAGGCGGTCTGTAGATGCTAAGAGGCTGAATAGTAAATATTCTCTTCTTCATCATGTGTTCATGGTTTATATAAGCTATGTCTCTTCTTTTTCTTTCTCCATAATACTGAAAATACACAAAATACTCACAGCCATATCCCATCATAAATTGATCAGCATTGTTTGTGTTGACACATCAGTAATAAATGTGTATTCTGTTTAAGTCTGTATGTTCTTAGAGCAGTTTCCCTGATGAAGCACAAATACAGTACAGTGGATACACTTTCATTTTAGTCTGGATCAGTGTGCCATGTTAACAGGTATAAGATTTACACAGTGTTACCACAGATTACTAAATCAGGGGGCCCAGGGGGCATCGCAATCTTACTTTGATTTTATCTTTGATGAAGCGGAGGGAATCAGCTGTACCCATATAGTCGTTGTCGGGGATGCTGACAAAGTCTAACCTCATTTTAACATCACAGACATCACAGAGGGCCTTTTGGGCATCACTTGCAAATGATTCCAAGACGATTATGATCGCTTCTGTAAAACATATCAAAGGATGATAAAGTGAAAGGAGAACACCCTGCCCATGCTGAGAGTTACTCAACATCAGTATGTTCAAAGTCAATATATGATGTAACAATGATGAACATGTTAATGACAATTTTGTATCATTATTGTAATCTGACATTTGATTATAAAATGATTGTTTTAATCATCATCCTGGTGACTTTACACTTTTGTGTCCAGCAGTTATCACTGATCAATATCAAATTTATTGAATCCCCATGTTTCTATATACCCATGGAGATTCTACAGGATCAGGGGAATGAGGATTAGTGTAACATGTGACCTGTCACATGACCTGTGCAGCTACCACTGAGCCTACACTAGTGTATATCATACAGGCTCATACTATTTGTGAATAAGACAGAATCTTGCCAGGAGTTAACTGTTATTGAAACAAAATTGGAAAAGAATTTATTTCCCAAAAAAGATTTGGGGACATATCTCTATGATCCTAGAGGGTTGTGTTTGCAGTGATTGTATAAGTCCATGCCTTATATTTAGATAAACATTAGTGGTGGTCTGATTAATTGAAATAATCGAAGATTGGTCGTAATGACTAAACGACCAAGCAATCGATCATGTTTTCTCATAATTGAACACAAACAATTCTGGAACACTTGTTTGCATTAACAATATTTTTCACCAGGTTGGTTTTGTCTGTTACATTTCATAAGCACCACAAACTGGTTCCAAGATATGATTGAATTTATCTTAAAGACTCCAAGAAATTTAAGTTCCTAACATACTCGTCATCCTTTAAAGATGTGAAATTTGCAAATGTATTTTAAGCAGTTTGCAAAAAACCTAAAAAGTACTACATGTTTCTTCTTTATTTTTTGTGTATTAACAAAAATTACCAGGAAAATATCAATAATGACGCTAACCAATTATTTTTGATGTTTGATCGGTTGTAATGAACCAATCATCAATTATGAGATTTTAACCAATTCCCAACACTAATAAAAATGATAAAAAGAGTGACATATACATGCTACATAAATGACATTTTTTGTGAACATTGTGATTTAAGTTGAAGTGTTGAACTCTCATTAATAATAAACACACACATTATTAAAGTACCAACAAAACTGTACATCATGTGATTAGCTGGATCTGTGCATAACCCTGCTGCTGAAACTGTGAAGATTGCCAGCAAATGCACAAACTGAGTTGATATCCCACCTTCAAAGCCTGCCCTTTCCAGCATGTTGACAGGATACCACAGCAGTGGAAAGTTCCCCACTGGGAGGAGAGCCTTCGGACACCTGGTGGTCAAGTCTGTCATCCTGGACCCCTGATCCAGCTGCCATTACTACTGGCTGAAACTCCATTCTTCTTTTGTTGGTGTATCTCAATTTGATGGGTGTATTTTTCTTGAAGAAAGAAAGAATAATTCAAAGTAACATACATACACTATATAGTGGTGGGTCCACACAACTTGCTTACCAAAATCCATGACATACCATGCATAAACACACAAAGTAACATAAATATCAGTCAAGAATTAGTGTCTACAGACATGACAAACAGCTCTAATCTTACAACTAACATGAACTGTCCCTGAAAAGTCTACATATGCTCAACATTGTTAAATACCCATACATATGTATGATGTATATATGATGCAGGGTTTTACCTTGACTCACAAACATCGGGGTACCATGGACCCTTAATTATTACTTTTAAGGGCCATTGAGGGTCCTTTGAAGTAATGGTTAAGAGAACAGTATGTTTTTTAGAGCCTGGAATGAATCATTGATCATGTGGACTGATGGGTAAATTGATGTAAGTAACTGCCCTGAAAGAAACAACCAAACACTTAGCAATGTCATAGATGTGTTGTGGGTACAATGAATAATATTGTGAGTCCCTCTGAATGCAATGAATTACTTTTCTGTGTCCATTCTCTACACTGGTATGTACTGGATGCACATTTCCATGCTGCATAAAACCCTGTATGATGTTCATGTAAATTCATGTACGTATATCATATCAATCACTTCTTGTTTTACCTGGCTATGTGACCCATTTAGTCAGAACATATGACAGTATCCACATTGTATGAAATGTGAACGGATGCTTCTGTTATCAATCACTAGATTGTCTGGTCCAGACCTGCTCCATTTCACACATTTTATGTGATCGATTGTATTCTTAAGAATGACAAATGATCAGACAACGTTTTTCGGGGAAAAAATAAAACAAACTTACATATTTTGGAGTTTACTTCAATATAACTTTGTACTAAGAGTAAATGAACCCCTCGGATATTGATAACATGTATATAGCAAATAACTGAAAGTATACAGCAGCGTACTCTAATACTAATGAGAAGAGTAACTGACCATGCCCTGCCTTTTAGCAGTGGGTAAAGTCTGTGGTCACGAAAATAAGCAAATGATAAGTCGCTTCCTTCGTAAGCAAAGAAAAGACAGCTGTCACCAAGCATAAACGTGAGCAAAATATGACAGGACATACCTTAAATCCTGATATTTATTCGCATATAACCGTATTCATCCCTTAATGACATAAACATATGTGACAAATGACGAAATCTGTAAACAGTTCCTGCACATGGGAAGTGCTAACGTAAATCGACTTCGTGCCGTAAAGGGGTTTGATGTCGTTATGCAGTCGTGCGAGTGGGTGTCATTTGAAGTTAGATGTCCTTTCAATGACCCCATGCAATGACTGGCTTATTACTAGTCATTTGATTTTGCCTCGATTAAGATACATAATGTAGAGATGATCCGCAATCTGATTTTCAGAAATATATGTGATATTTCAAAAACTAAGTTTTGAAATAAGGAAGCGCCATAAAATCTTTGCTACCTCGGCTATTTGGAAACCGTCCTCAATCCAATACATCCATGTTTGACGAATGGCGATAGATGTTTTTTTTCTTTTTTTATCGTCGTGAGTGTTGATGATAACATCTTTAATATATTTTAAGAGATAACGAGGCATTTCTTCATCAGAATATGGTATTCTTTTTCATCACTATTGACAATAATTAGGATGAATTCCTGTCAAGGTCGAGAAGTTAGACGTGAGGAAAGGTGATGCTGTATTTGCATGAATAACCGATCGAATGATCTCCATCATATAACAGTTAGTTGACATCAAAAGACAGTGTATGATAATGACTTTTATTAGATATGTTCATAAAAGTCTAAACTTTGTTCGTTTTCACTGCTGTATGCGTTGGACCTGTGGCAAACAGATGACGCGCGCTCGCACAGGTAGGGATGAACTTTATCACAGAAACTGGTTATAAGAAGCCTTTTTCTAATATGTCAACATAAGCAAGTCTTACGAGATATGTTATGTTGGGTTCAGTCCCCTCTGGGATTCCAACCCCCCAAATGTACTGGAATCTGTACTTTACTAAGAAAGTGTAATCCCAAGTACATGTATAACATAATTCAGAGGCGGATACAGCTTTTTGAGAAGTGCGTGTGTGTGTGCGTGCGCGCGTGAGCTTGATAACGAGAGTTTCAATGGTCAACTAATAATCCTTCAGGACAAAAGGGGGTGGTGGTGAGCACCCCTGCAAAAAAAAACACCACCCCCCTCCCCCCGATCCGCCTATGTAATTTACATTTGACCACTTTCTAAAGGCATTGTGTATACATGTCATAGGGGGTGTGAACGTTACAAGGTTATGGCAAACTTTTCATCATGAGTTCAAAAGGTTTTCATTCATTTTGTGTCATTTCTTGTGTATTAGACGTTTTGCCATGTTAGAAGCCCCAAACCTGCATGTTTAATGCATGAAACAGTGCTCGGTGCCCGTCATTTGAACGTGACGGCAGTGGGGTAGCCTAATGGTTAAAGTGTCCACTCGTCACACCGAAGACCCGGGTTTAATTTCACCACACGGGTACAATGTGTGAAGGCCATTTCTAGTGTCCCCTGATGTGATATTGCTTGAGTATTGCTAAAAGCGGCGTAAAACCATACTCACTTATTCATTTGAACGTCTAGAAATTTCAACTTCAAAATGAGGCATTACCAGTGGGCCATGGAGGACCCTCTTCCTTCCTCATCGTTTGCTAAGGCTGCCAACATGACGGAGCTGCCCTCCTTTAATCTCTTCCGGAAACCCAAAACAAACAAAGGCAGTACATGTACATGCTCAATGTCAAGGCCGACCTGTCCATAAGTCTATAAACTCAGGGACAGAAGAAACTATACTGCCTTTACCTTTTTATGCATTTGAAAATTGAAAGAACTTTCATTAAATTTGACTATCTCTATTTCACCATCACTCATCTCTGCAAAAGTCTGTGAAATATAATCTTTGACTGGGTAAAATCGTGTAAAAATATATCGTTTCAGTGAATATTTGTGTCAGAAATGGATTTGCAGCCATGTTACAATGTTACCCTGTGTCAAGGGTTGATTTTCACAGTTAAGATGTCTGAGACCAATCTGCATTACAATTAATGTCTTTGATATACGTTGGCTAACTTAGGGTATTTTAATATACATACAAAACAAATATGGACAACAACTTCTTTACTGTAATACAGACGTTTCCCTTTATTTATACATACACACTTGAATTAAACATAAGTATGTACCTTCATGTACACCCGAAGAGCTCTTGTGTACATAAAGAAGTTTTGACAAACACGACTACTTGAACCCTATCATGTATGTATGTATGTATGTATGTATGTATGTATGTATGTATGTATGTATGTATGTATGTATGTATGTATGTATGTATGTATGTATGTATGTATGTACCAATCAGGGCGGTGGGGTAGCCTAGTGTTTAAAGCGCTTGCTCGTCACGCCGACGACCCGGGTTCGATACCCCACATGGGTACAATGTGTGAAGCCCATGTCTGGTGTCCCCCGTCGTGATATGGCTGGAATATTGCAAAAACGCGGCGTAAAACCCAACTCACTCACTCACTATCTATCTATATCTATCTATGTAAATCTCTCTCTCTCTCTCTCTCTCTCTCTCTCTCTCTCTCTCTCTCTCTCTCTATATATATATATATATATATATATATACTCTCCAAAAAAAGAAACGCGTCATGAAAATAGCAATTTCATGTAGCAATGAATTAAAACGTGATTCATTTTATAAAAGGTTTTGCTCTGTTTATAAGTCCTATCGTGTTTATGTTTTGAAACATCACAACAAAACGGACCATCCGTAAAATATCCGTATTTAACAGCATGATTTTCAATATCGGCGTGTAGTGTCACAGAATACACATGCAATGCACGTGAAAGTTGGGGATCAGATAGTCTCAATGATGGGTATAAAAGGTTGATCGCTGTCTGTCCATTATTCACTGTATTTGGAATATTGTTGACGAACGCAAAATGCCACGTCTAAGTGAAGCCAACCGTCATATCGCCATTGGTTTGCTTGAAGCTGGCCAGTCTCAACGTGCAGTTGCCCGACGCATGAATGTTCACCAAAGCACCATTTCACGGCTCTAGGAGAGATATCGCCGGCAGAATGCGGTAGCAGATGCCCCTCGTAGTGGGCGAACTCGAGCGACCACTGCGGCGCAGGATCGCTACATCCGGGTACATCACCTGCGTCATCGAACAGCTACGGCGACCAGTACCGCTCGACAAATACCCGGATTGAGGAGGCTTTCTGCACAGACCGTCAGGAACAGGTTGAGAGAAGCTGGTTTACGTGCCAGAAGACCTTATTTTGGCCCTGTGCTTCGACAACAACATCGTCGACATCGAGTTCAATGGTGCAGCAACGTTCAGGCCTGGAACCTACCGAATTGGCGTAGAATCTGGTTCAGTGATGAATCACGATTTCTATTTGAACGACGCGATGGAAGAATACGGGTGTACAGACGTCGGAGTGAACGTTTCACCGACGCTTGCGTTCCCCAGGTGGACAGATTCGGCCGGGGCGGTGTTATGATGTGGGGAGCGATCACCTGCCGTAGGAGAAGTGATTTGCTGATGATCCAGGGCAAACTGACAGCTCAACGGTAGTGATCGCCAGAGGGAGTTGTTTCAACAGGACAATGCCAGGCCCCACACATCACGTCACACTAGAGACTTCCTCCAGAACCACAACATCAATGTGCTCCCCTGGCCCTCAAGATCACCGGACTTAAACCCGATCGAAAATCTGTGGGATGCCCTGGACAGACGGGTGCGACGCCGTAACCCTCAGCCCCAGACACTTCAGTCAGCAACTCGCACAGGCACTACAGGCAGAGTGGGCTGCGATTGGGCAACACGAGATTCTGAGACTTATTCGTTCGATGCCGAGGCGATGCCGTGCAGTTCTGGATGCCCACGGTGTTCACACGAGATATTGACTTCAGAGCCACCACACGTCTCCATGTGACACTCAAACTGACTTTCCTCGAGTTGGTGCCAAAGACGGATAAGTCTGCATTCCCAGTGTGCAATTTCGCTATATTTCATTGACTCATAAAGCCTACAAGATGTTTCAAAATAAACATAAAAATACAGTTGAAATTCCTATATGCGTTTCTTTTTTGGGAATATATATATATATATATAATTTTTATATATCTATATATGTCTATATCTATACATGCATCTCAAAGACAACTGAAAATTCATTTTACAGTTGTAGTTTGACACGCTGCCAGGCAGCAAAACCCCACTGCCGATGCAGGCATACCGTTTGGGATAGATTCAAATATATCTCAAAGGAAACACTATGTGATGACACTGTGGCTACATAAGAGGCTACCTTATCACGTTCACCTTGTCTACAAGTGTGAAGTGACACGTGAAGTATATAAGCGTGGGTGCATGTATACAATGTAACAATCTGGCTGCTTTACAGGAACTACTGTGCACATACTTACGGGACATCAGACCTCCACGGCTTAATGGGTGCGAGAAGTTAAAGCTATCATACTGACTGAACGTTTGTTTGCGACTTAAGCCTACACTTATGTAAATACATCATGGCTGTTTCGGCATCAATAGCGGACGCGATAAGTCTCCTTTTCACATGGTGTATCACATGTAAATGTGCTAAAATAGGTTTTAAATAATCAGTCCGCGAACACCTGGTACTATCCTTTTTTAAAATTTTACCTTAAACATGTTCATCAATATAGTCGGAATCGTACAATTGACACTTCTTATTAGTATATTTTTCTCGTAATTATGGGAAGAATATTGTCTTTTTATATCATCTTTTACAATGTAATTGAAGTCATACATGACGTCTTCTGGTACTTTCGTAGCTTGGTTGACGAAACATCACAAGCCATATTGCTTATGTTGAACGTTAATATCATTTGGATCGTACCTGTAGGTTTATTGCACACTACTCGTTAAGATCAGGGTTAGAACCGGTCTTAAGCAATCCATCCTTATCGTGGGGCGGTGGGGTAGCGTTCGCTCGTCACGCCGAAGACCCGGGTTCGATTGCCCATATGGGTACAATGTGTGAAGCCCATTTCTGGTGTCCCCGCCGTGATTTTGCTTGAGTATTGCTAAAAGCGGCGTAAAACTAAACTCACTCACTCACCCGTCCTTGTCGTAAGTCTCGCAGACTTGGTTAATGCACGTTATCGTTTCCCATTTGCGAAGATCGATGCTCATGTCAGTCACTGGATTGTCTGGTCCAGACTCGATTATTTACAGACAATCATCTTATATCTGAGTGTGTCGTTAAACAAATATAATGTATACTACTCGAAAGGAGTTAAGGAAGACTCGATTCCTTCCTACTAATAAAGTTTACAAATCATCCCCATGCAATGATGCAGTGAAGCATTTTACGGAACTGATTCAATGTGCATGTCCATTCTAAAAGAGCATATCTACTGTCATAACTTGTTTCTAACATAATTGTTAGTTTTCCAGCACCTTGAAGTCAGTCTGTAAATAATCGAGTTTTGACTAAGGAAAACAGCGATTGATAATTGTTGAAGTATGCCTGTCACAGAACCTGACCATCCGATCCACCCGAACGCCTCTTACGACAAATATATGGTCTTAAGATCTGTTTTAACGTGGAAGTAAAGCTTAGTAGTAATAACTGGTAACAAAACGGTTCTAAATGTGCACAGGTTGTATTATCTATATTGCAGGCAAGGGTTGCTGAAGATCAATTTTAACCAGGACCTTCACGGGTCTACAGTTAGTGACGTAAAAGAAAGAAATTCCCTTCGTACACTGATTATGGTAAGCTGCATTGTCAACTAGCTTCAAAGTCAATATTACGTCAATAATAATAACGTAGTATCGAGGGCTAAAGCATCGACAAGGGAGACAACTCTAAACTCATGGATTGTAGTAACAATTAACAATGCTAGCTGATGCCATTACAATAAAACACACTATTGAGGTGATGTTTTCAGAAGTAAGTTTATTTATTCTGTCTCATGTACTACCCGCTGTACACACGGTACCATTCTGGCTTAAAGTGTACCCCGGATCACATTTAGAGCAGGAAGTATTGTCAGTGCACCGGCTACATCCTTCCCCGCACCCTGAAACAGATAAACACTGGCTTGTATGCCTGCTGCATATCACGTCGTGATCCAGCATGAATATATATTATTTTCCAGGTGACATACATGATAACCCCTTCCGATACAGCTTGGGAAGTACACGTATCTATGCACACATTAAACGGTGTAAAGAGTGCACCCAATGCTGGTTTAAAAGTTTTACATCCTAAACAGGATTCGTGTTAAATGAAATGAAAGCATGAATTGTCCTGATTTAACATTTACCCGTATTACGTTCTACTTTGACGCTTTTTATCAAAGATATACAAACACTCAAGTCTGGATTTAAAAGGGTTCAGGGACTTTTGATTAAACACCCGAACACAAGGTAACCTGTGTTAAGGATAAACACTGTGTCACCTCGCACCGGTGAGGTCACAGCCAGTCACATGTACATATAATGTAGGTTTGTTCCCTCACTAGAGCCCTGTAGCAATAACTCCGCAGAGATTGTGTGTAGTTTATAGGGGATCGTACTCCAGCTCAGATTTTGGGAAATTATTATTCCTGTCACTGCTTCATAATTTAAAGAAATGATTTTAAGGAAAAACTTTAAATAAAATGTGGGAAATTACTTTTTACCCCCAAATTCTAACTGTAATTTGTTTTTATAAAAAATAAGCCAAGGTATGTATATATTTCTCGTTTCCCGAAAGCATTAAATTATTGATTGAATCAAGTATATCTATCTTTTGTTGATTAGTTATTTTTAAACTATATTTGATATATATTTCATTTTGTGAACATAACATATCGACTGGTCAAGGGAACATGGGCATATGCCTAGCGATGGCTCGTGACATAAATTTTATTGGAAGTGACTCAACTGAATGTAAGTTGGCACCGCACCAGTTTGTATGTCTGTTTATCATTTGTACAATAAGAGAATAAATCACATACAGTCACAGAAGGACGATCTCTGTGTGTCTTTCCTGAACCAACCATCACGGCAATTCAGTCCTTTGACGCACACCAAGCGGGGCTCATTCCTTGAGGGAAAAGAAATTATGTATGTATTCACATAGCGCAGATTACCTGTAATAGTAATTGTTATAGTATATGGCGTTCATGTCCAGGCACATTACCTGCTCACGGCGCTACGTGCATTACTATCCTCGGTCATAGGACACTATCGTACTATCCGATACTTTTCAACTCCATGGGGATCATACAGCCATGCTGCCTGTTAGGCGCAATGAACTAATCACTCACATTGCCAGCACGTCCTCACGGGTACCAATTTAACAGCTGGGTGAACTGAGACATTGTGGATTTAAGTATCTTGTCCAAGGATACTACGAAAATGTGCCGACCTTGGGACCCGAGCCTAGGTGCCTCCACCGGGGATCGAACCCGGGCCTTCAGCGTGATAGGCAGACGCAATACCACTGCACTATTGCGCAGGGGAATATTATCTGCGTTACACAGCAAGTGCACAAACTTGACACGTGGCAGTTGGCGACCATGGTTAAATCACTTATATCTGGTAGCTATGACCATATCTAGGCCCTGCTTCACATAACGATCTTAGCGCTACGGCTGTGGTAACTCTATGTTAAGGAATAGGAGATACGAAAGTCGTACGCTATGACCGGTTTGTGAAATGCGGCCTTGGCTGGATATGTCGACTTGGGTGAGGTGGGTTTAGCACTGTCTTATACAGTATCTCAGCCATAGTTCCATCCTATTATCGAGTCAGGAAATCCACATGATCTAGGTCTCAGATTTAAACCATTTAGTTGTGACTAAGTCGCTAGGCTTGGTATTGACAAACCAAGATCATTATTATCTGAGCGAATCTGGAATTCAATTCTTTGACCGGAGATTTAAACAATAATTTCCGTGGTGTCAAGTTCTCCCTTTAGACGCTTATTGTCAAACGGGGTTAGCGTGTACATTGATCTCATTTTGATACGTGTCTAAGATACTACAGATGGAAAGGTTAGTCACATTTGGAACATGAATTGTTATGGTGCAAAGAGACAGGGAAACAGTTGAATGAGTAGTCAATTGGCATGGAACAGTAACGAAAGACGTCGTTATTTATAATTGGTTCCTTTTTCTGAATTTCAAATATTACGTATTTCGCCTCTATGTACAAAAATATGGACACTACTTCTAAATGCCATTAAAAGTCTGAAAACCCTCAAAATATATTCATCAGAATATCAATAGAGGATACGATTGTTAATAATTCCTTTGTATATTTATATGAATTGGATTATATATATGAACAGTAAATATATTAATTCTGTATGTATTTTTATAATAGTTGTTTCAAGTCGAATGCCCATTGACTTACACGTCCCTGTTGTTCTTGATGGTGATGTTGTTGAAGGTGTAGGTGCCGTGGGGGTCGGTTGTGGCGCGGTAGTAGAGGTGGTTGAAGGTTGGGAGGTACCCCTCGTCACATGACATACAGCCCAGACAGCCGACTGAGCTCCGGACATACATGGTGTAGGAACAGTGTGTATTCTTGCTGGGGCACTTCACTGAAACATGGGGGAAATGTAGGCTGGGGCCTGGACGAGCTTCCATTATTGATTCCACATACGTCTTGTTAGTTTGAACAGAAAATAGTATATTTGTTTGCCTCAGACCCAAAATACAAGACTCCGTCCAGAGGATACAGTGTTCCGGCGTTTACCTCTTTACGAAGAGTGTGCTCTAAATGAGAGCGAACGTCTGCACATACCACCTTCTGCAAATGACACTGAACTTCTCAACATGCCATCATCTGCAGATGAAACTAAATCTATTCCAAAAACCTCCTGAAGATGTGAACGAATGTCTGCACATACCACCTTCTGTAGAAAAGACTGATCGTCTCAATATACCACCTTCTGCAGATGAGACTAAATTTCTCCACAAAACGCCTTCTGAAGATGAGACTAAATTTCTCCACAAAACGCCTTCTGTAGATGAGACTAAATTTCTCCACAAAACGCCTTCTGTAGATGAGACTAGTTTTTTCCACAAAACGCCTTCTGCAGATGAGACTAAATTTCTCCACAAAACGCCTTCTGTAGATGAGACTAAATTTCTCCACAAAACGCCTTCTGCAGATGAGACTAAATTTCTCCATATACTGTCTTATACCAAAAACAGACTCACAAGTATCTCTTCACATACAAAATTAAGGTCTGCAAACGGTAAAAATACCTATCCACGTGCCACAGGTGTGTTTACAGACGGATGTACCTCTCCACATAACAAATAGATACCTGCAGAAGGGATGGTACCTCCACACACAATTAAGATGGTGTCTCCGAAAATATTCCCCAAGGCAATCAGATGGATCCACATTTACCGTAGGGAAGGATTTGTCGTAATTAAGGCGTAATCTCTTCACTCACCTCCCGACGGCTTACATACTGCTGTCTGTTTACCCCCGGGGAGTGTGTGTCGGACCATGTTGTACCCCCAGAAACACGACTGACAGTTGTTGTAGCTGGAGCAGGAGGAGCACCCTTCACCACACCCTGTAGGAACACATCGATATAGCCGTATACTTGTATAACGTTCTTTAGCAACCTTCGTTTTACACGAATTGTATTAAAGCGGTTATCACAGTTACTAGCAGTGTTTTGGTTCCTGTTAACGCCAGATATACATTTTCATAATGTTTGTTATTCTTTGCTTAAATCAAATTTCAAGCGGACACACTTGGCAGTTTAGATGCTAGGCTTAAGAGTGAGTGAGTGAATGAGTTTGGTTTTACGCCGCTTTTAGCAATATTCCAGCAATATCACGGTGGGGGGACACCAGAAATGGGCTTCACATAATTATTGTACCAATGAGAGGAATCGAACCCGTGTCTTTAGCGTGACGACCGACGCTTAAACCATTAGGCTACCCAACCGCCCCGCTAGGCTTAAGAACATCATACTACACTGAATACCATGTTTGATCGTGCCAAAAAATGAAACAACGGATGTAATGATAAATCTAGCGTTTCTTATCTGAAATGCAATTTTCAAGTGTGTGCTTTCTCTTTCCCGACAATTTACATGCAAGCCTTAATAACATATAACTATATCTAGAAACGATACAGATGGTACTTGTTAATCTTGTCGGTTATCAGTTACGCTCACAAGCACATGCAGACTGCGGGCCCATCTGAGTGTGGAAGAAGCCTGTAAGGCAATGGTCGCCCTTCACGCAGACCCACTGGGGCTCCATCCTGCAGAGACATAAGGCAGTGCGATACAGTGACTGAGTGCGATTATCCACGGTTCGTCTTTTGGATGACAAATATAACTACAGATATAGGAAATCATTGAAAAATTTCTTAGTTAGTGAAAGTTGTTGAACAACAATGTCAGCAATACTTCCGATATATCACTGCAGCAGAATGTTCGGGGTTAGTTATGAACCAGCTACTGGTGTACGCAATGCTCCAGCAACATCACGACGGATAACACAAGTTGAAAACTTTTAATGAAATTTGAAACAGAAATATAAATGCATGCAATACATCGAGCCATGATTTCGCTCTACAGGTCATCATAAAGTATCCTTAAGTAACAGTCAAAGGAGTGATTATTTTTAGTTTCGTAGTTTCAGTTTCGTAGCACTGGGCTGTGCTTATAACTACTGATATGAGCGTCATACATTGTATTTATGTACGGTACGAATACGGGTCTCGGCGTGGCCACTTTAAGCTCTATATATGGGTGTTGAAAGATTAGGAATCCAAGTTCATTTCGTAAATGAATGATGTCAAATTTGTTGGTAACCATCTGTCAATACAAAGTGTACATTCCTTAATTCCACATATGTCATTTAGAAGTTATTAAATGTTTAACTGACTTACACGTCGACGGTGTTGTGAATGGGGACGTTCCTGTACGTATAGTGGCCGCTGGTGTCGTTGGTGTCACGGCGATGTCGGGGGTTGTTGGTCATCATGTACCCGTCCACACATCCGCCCTGACACCCCAGGCAGCCAAGGTTTGGGATGACGGCGTTGAAGGTGTCGGTGATGCAGTTGCTGGCCATGTTGGGACAAGGTACTGCGTGATAGAATTGTTCAGTGAAAAACGGAATCGATGCTGTGTTATGTCATTTCACTGGGGAAGAGGGATACCATGTTGTCTGAATGCACAAAGTAACGGACATATCAGGCCATGTTAAGCTACTAAATAACATATGTGTCATTTAATGTTGAGGTGAGGTGAAATTGGGTTTAACGTCGTGCTTGAGAATATTTCGCTCATATGACGACGTGCATGCGTGTGAATGTGTATGTGCGGCTGCTTGTACTAGCCCAGACTTAAGCTGGTTTTATAGTGCTAGCCCACTGAGATGCCATGCCGCAGTTAAACATGAATACCCCACTCAGACACATTATACTGACTCCGAGCCGACCAGTCCTTGTTGTACCCATTAATGCCGAGCGCCAGGCAGGGACCAACAAGTACCATATTTTAACGTCTTTTGGTATCGAACCCGCGACCTTCCGCTCTCTGGGCGGACGCTCTAACCACTACACCACGGAGGCGGCTCATTTAATGGTAAGGCACTAATGAATACATTTGTCATTTAGAGTCAAAGGACTGAGAAACAGATGTGTCATGTTGGATCAATGTACCGGGGAAACAGATTTATTCTGATGTCAAGCCTCTGGGGAACAGAATGATCATTGTGCTGAAACACACAAGGGAATAGAATTGTCAAGTTATGTCAAAGAATAAGGAACAGGGCAGTCATGTTGATGCATGGCACTACGTAACACCAAGCACCATAAGTATCATTAACTAACACCAAGTAACTATCATGCCTAGGCATGGCACAAAGTTATAGAAATGGTACATCAAACAACTAGCGAGTAGAGATGTCATGCTATGTTAAGATACTTAGGCACAGAATTGTCATGTGTCAAGGCACAATGTAACAAGGATGCCATGTTGATTCAAAGCACCTGGGAACAGAATTACAATATTGTATAAAGCCACAGAGTAACAGAATTTGTAATACAGTAACTGTGAACTGGCATAAATAAGATGCCATGCCTTCAGACACTGGGAAACAGTGGTATCTCTTTACGAATATAAGCCTAGCACACACAAAGGCATACGAGGCACTCAAGGACAACAGGCTGTTAAAGAGTTCTCGAGCAGTTGTTGGGATAAAATGAATATGTCTTATTGAGAAAATGTTCTGAGTGAAATAATCAGTATACGACAAAGTACTAGGATTATGTTCTGATAGGTGTTGGAAACAGAAATTGTGAATTGGGGACACACATTTAGACATAACAGTGTTTTGGACAAGGAACAGACCAGTTAAGATCATACAGGGCTCTGGAACTAGAAGACACTATTAGTTTGCGACATGCCCAGATTAGTCTGGGAACATGGTGCTTAAAAATAATTCTATCAAAACACCCCTAATGTACTATAAAGTAGCTCCATTATCAAAACGAGTGTATTATATTCTACGACATCCTTTGTCGTGAAAAGGCGTTCATCCTTTACGCCATGTTTTCCCATAGGATCCAAAATGACATACACCTCCTTCTTAAATGGCAATTTGTTCGGAAATTATGGGAATATTTGTAGGTGGATGAAACCCGTTTAACGCCAAAGAAATTAAACACAATGATCAATCGAAGACAGGGAAAATAACACAAGAGTGACCAAAGGGTAATGGCCACAACACTTCACCCCCTATACATGACTGGACAAGCTCGGGGTGGGAGCATCCGATATAAAGAACAGGAGCCGCGGTCAGCACCACGGTTCGGGGAATTTCAATGAGATCAAACATGGCTATGAGGCGACGGATGTGTCCACACACAAGCTTTACGTTGTTAACATTCGTTCACTGACCTGTAAGGTACATATTGACCATAACACACGTGTGTTTAGATAGCTGGACAGGGGGACATTGACTGTAACAGGCAGGTCTGATCGGCAAGTCAAGAGTGATGAATGTATAATAGAAACATGAGAAGATTCTTTTGGTTTTGCGTGTGAGTCATCAGTCGAAAGAATGGCGGTTGTTCACTATTTAGAGTTTACTTATTTAGATAAACAATATTATTTGTATTGCCAACATGTGGGAATTGGAGTGACCGGCAAGTTATTAAGAGCTTAGAAAATTCTCACGTTTGACGAGCAGCCTATTTCAATGTTATATTGATAATTCTACGACTATTCATGAGTAGAGGTTTTTGCAGGGAAGCAATGCAAATATGCCCCATCATATTACACGGTACTTTAGAGTTTCACTACAATGCTAATTTATAATGGTAAAACAGTTTCGAGTGATGTTCGACTTCGACTTAAACAATGTTATGGTTGAAATATTGTTCCTCCATAACTTTGTATAATACTCTGCAGTTGAATATCAGTTTTACTTGGCCTGATTGAACGGGCATCGAATACCTGGCTCAAAATCACCCGCATAAACAAGAGCATGACGCCATCACTGTTTTCTGTTTGGTAGTCATGTTATATACCCTTTGCTATTTGAACTAATGAAGTTGATCTTTGGCAATGCGTAAACTTTTGTTGATAAAAGAAGATGTCTGCGATTTAGCGCTTTGTATTTCTCAAGGGCAAGACTAGAAAGTGAACGTGGTGTATTAACACCATAACAGGACTGGTCTGTGGTGCCAACAATGGCATTAACTGTCTTCCAGAAATCTGTGTACTACAGTACACAGAAATGGAACCATACATTTCGACTGCATTTTAAGTGAAACAGGACTGACTGACTGACTGAGTTTGGTTTTACGCCGCTTTTAGCAATATTCCAGCAACATCACGGCGGGGGACACCAGAAATAGGCTTCACACATTGTGCCCATGTGGGGATTCGAACCCGGGTTTTCGGCGTGACGAGCCAACGCTTTAACCATTAGGCTATCCCACCGCCCCTAAGTGAAACAGGAAGCTGTAGAGAGGAAAAATATGGAATTGGCTATACGACAATAGATTTGGATATTTTGTGTGCTGTAAAGCAATATTACTTTTTGAATATTTTGTTCTGCATGTTCTGCGCGAAGGACTCCAAACAACATTATAACCACAGTCTATCATTTTACTAAATTTGAAAAACTAATGCCTTAAAAGACGTAAGATTGTCATAATTCAGTTTTCTATTTCATGCATTGAATCTTAGATGAACCTGGGTTCATGCTTGTAGCATAAACTTCCGTCATAAAGACATTGTATAAGTTCATTGCGATTCCAAAGTGTCTTTCATTGTTCCTTATCGTGTAATATTGCCATTTTATATTGCCTCCATTTTGTGAAGAGCCGGGGTTAGCTTCAGCAACCCACGCTCCACTGCTTGGTAAGAGGCGACTAACGGGATCGGTGGTCAGGCTCGCTGACTTGGTTGACACATGTCATCGGTTCTGGACGATGCTCATACTGTTGATCACTGGATTGTCTGGTCCAGACTCGATTATTTACCGACCGCCGCCATATAGCTTTAATATTGCTGCGGCGTAAAACTAAACTCACTCACTCACTCACCATGTTGGTCCTGCTCAGCGCTGCGGGCATTTGGGCTGGACAATTCGATCACAAGATGAATACCATTTACATAGGCACACAGACACACTCACACACATACACATGCATACACATACACACCCATCCACATATCCATACACATTCACCAACATACATTACACACGCACACATAATTTGACGGATGCTCCATAACTTATTCCCTGACACACAGACAGACGCGCACACACGCACACACACACACGCACACACACACGTGCGCACACACACACACACACACACACACGTATTCGCTCACATCGACCTACAAACACACATTTTAGTTTCTCCTATCATTTTCTGTTCATTTCTTATTCCTCCAATGGCAAAAAATACTCTCAGGATCAGTCATCAGTGACGCTAAGTCACGAGGACGTCAGAACGGTGTCATTCATTCATTACGACAGTTCTCCAGTTTTTCAGCTGTATCTTCTACATGTGAAACGCAGGATCTATCGCGTCAGGGCATATTGCAAGTCAGGACTAATTATACCACAACACCTGCTCCAAGTCATCAACAAAACCTTATTGAACTTGACATGTTGGTTAATACTTGTCACAAAAGATCTATCATTTGTCTTATTACCTTCTGAACGTATCGAAAGGTGTTCGTTGTATCATAAGCACTCAATCTAACCTATATGTCACACTGACATTCACAGCGACTCAGCAAGGTACGAAGTTTATCGAGTTTGTTTGAAGGCGCGTACTGCGTTTTTGAGTAAGTCGAACTGTTGAGTTTCTTCTATAACGCCGATATGTGAGAAATTTCGTGTATAACGCCAAGAGAGAGGTACCCCAGTGTCGTGACTTCCGCGTGGCACGACATACAACGGCCTATAGATACAAACACATACCAGCTAGAGCACTGAAACCTGGTAACGTTGTAATTAGGGCTGACGTCATTACCTGTTGACATAATGAGAGACTGCACGTTTAGCCCACACGTGAAAAGCCAGATGGCACTGACCGCTGTCCTCTGGCTTCTTGTGGCCGCCATATTGTCCGATAGAGTAACATATGGGAACAATTGGTCGATTGACACCTGTTTCGGATAAACATTCTGATGAAATATTTCACTTTATCAAGTTGTAGAAACGGCAGTATATGAGAATATTTGTTTTCGAAATAAGATCGTATTAAAGCTTCGAGAAACGATAAAAGCCTGATTTGTACCACATCGCACTTTCGGCTCATACAGCATGCTTATCAAGTGACATGCCGTGGTAATGATGTTATACGTACGTGGATACTGTGGGGATGTTAGGGCATATTTCGTCAGCAATAAGCTTTGCTTTGCATAAGGACCTTGTTCGCGTTTCCTGTCCATGCTACACGTGCATCACCAAAGCAGTATGTGAATCATGGTATTCACCTCACGTTTCGATATGTATGCATGTTGATTCTCGCTTCAAATCACGACATGTGTGATGATTCTCGCTTCGCATTACGACAATTTTGGTGATACTCTCCTCACATTACGACATGTATCATGAATCGCTCCTCACATTACGACATGTATCATGAATCTCGCCTCACATTACCACATGTATCATGAATCGCTCCTCACATTACGACATGTATCATGAACCTAGCCTCACATTACGACATGCATCATGAATCTCGCCTCACATTACCACATGTATCATGAATCTCGCCTCACATTACGACATGTATCATGAATCTCGCCTCACATTACCACATGTATCATGAATCTCGCCTCACATTCCGACATGTATCATGAATCTCGCCTCACATTACGACATGTATCACTCGCCTCACATTACCACATGTATCATGAATCTCGCCTCACATTACGATATGTATCATTAATCTCGCCTCACATTACCACATTTATCATGAATCTCGCCTCACATTACCACATGTATCATGAATCTCGCCTCACATTCCGACATGTATCATGAATCTCGCCTCACATTACGACATGTATCACTCGCCTCACATTACCACATGTATCATGAATCTCGCCTCACATTACCACATGTATCATGAATCTCGCCTCACATTACCACATGTATCATGAATCTCGCCTCACATTACGACATGTATCATGAATCTCGCCTCACATTACGACATGCATCATGAATCTCGCCTCACATTACGATATGTATCATTAATCTCGCCTCACATTACCACATGTATCATGAATCTCGCCTAACATTACCACATGTATCATGAATCTCGCCTCACATTCCGACATGTATCATGAATCTCGCCTCACATTACGACATGTATCACTCGCCTCACATTACCACATGTATCATGAATCTCGCCTCACATTACCACATGTATCATGAATCTCGCCTCACATTACCACATGTATCATGATTCTCGCCTCACATTACGACATGTATCATGAATCTCGCCTCACATTACGACATGCATCATGAATCTCGCCTCACATTACGATATGTATCATTAATCTCGCCTCACATTACCACATGTATCATGAATCTCGCCTCACATTACCACATGTATCATGAATCTCGCCTCACATTACGACATGTATCATGAATCTCGCCTCACATTACGACATGTATCACTCGCCTCACATTACCACATGTATCATGAATCTCGCCTCACATTACGACATGTATCATGAATCTCGCCTCACATTACGACATGTATCATGAATCTCGCCTCACATTACGACATGTATCATGAATCTCGCCTCACATTACGATATGTATCATTATTCTCGCTTCACATTACGACATATATCATGGATCTCGCCTCACATTACCACATGTATCATGAACCTCGCCTCACATTACCACATGTATCATGAATCTCGCCTCACATTACGACATGTATCATGAATCTCGCCTCACATTACGACATGTATCATGATTCTCGCCTCACATTACGACATGTATCATGAATCTCGCCTCACATTACGACATGTATCATGAATCTCGCCTCACATTACGATATGTATCATTAATCTCGCCTCACATTACCACATGTATCATGAATCTCGCCTCACATTACCACATGTATCATGAATCTCGCCTCACATTACGACATGTATCATGAATCTCGCCTCAAGTTACGACATGTATCACTCGCCTCACATTACCACATGTATCATGAATCTCGCCTCACATTACCACATTTATCATGAATCTCGCCTCACATTACGACATGTATCATGAATCTCGCCTCACATCACCACATGTATCATGAATCTCGCCTCACATTACGACATGTATCATGAATCTCGCCTCACATTACGACATGTATCATGAATCTCGCCTCACATTACGACATGTATCATGAATCTCGCCTCACATTACGACATGTATCATTATTCTCGCTTCACATTACGACATATATCATGAATCTCGCCTCACATTACCACATGTATCATGAACCTAGCCTCACATTACGACATGTATCATGAATCTCGCCTCACATTACCACATGTATCATGAATCTCGCCTCACATTACGATATGTATCATTAATCTCGCCTCACATTATGATATTTATCATGAACCTAGCCTCACATTACGACATGTATCATGAATCTCGCCTCACATTACGATATGTATCATGAATCTAGCCTCACATTACGACATGTATCATGAACCTAGCCTCACATTACGACATGTATCATGAACCTAGCCTCACATTACCACATGTATCATGAATCTCGCCTCACATTACGACATGTATCATTATTCTCGCCTCACATTACGACATGTATCATGAATCTCGCCTCACATTACCACATGTATCATTATTCTCGCTTCACATTACGACATATATCATGGATCTCGCCTCACATTACCACATGTATCATGAATCTCGCCTCACATTACCACATGTATCATGAATCTCGCCTCACATTATGATATGTATCATGAATCTCGCCTCACATTACGACATGTATCATGAACCTAGCCTCACATTACGACATGTATCATGAATCTCGCCTCACATTACCACATGTATCATGAATCTCGCCTCACATTACGACATGTATCACTCGCCTCACATTACGACATGTATCATTATTCTCGTTTCACATTACGACATGTATCATGAATCTCGCCTCACATTACGACATGTATCATTATTCTCGCTTCACATTATGATATGTATCATGAATCTCGCCTCACATTACGACATGTATCATGAACCTAGCCTCACATTACGACATGTATCATGAATCTCGCCTCACATTACCACATGTATCATGAATCTCGCCTCACATTACGATATGTATCATTAATCTCGCCTCACATTATGATATTTATCATGAACCTAGCCTCACATTACGACATGTATCATGAATCTCGCCTCACATTACGATATGTATCATGAATCTAGCCTCACATTACGACATGTATCATGAACCTAGCCTCACATTACGACATGTATCATGAACCTAGCCTCACATTACCACATGTATCATGAATCTCGCCTCACATTACGACATGTATCATTATTCTCGCCTCACATTACGACATGTATCATGAATCTCGCCTCACATTACCACATGTATCATTATTCTCGCTTCACATTACGACATATATCATGGATCTCGCCTCACATTACGACATGTATCATGAATCTCGCCTCACATTACCACATGTATCATGAATCTCGCCTCACATTATGATATGTATCATGAATCTCGCCTCACATTACGACATGTATCATGAACCTAGCCTCACATTACGACATGTATCATGAATCTCGCCTCACATTACCACATGTATCATGAATCTCGCCTCACATTACGACATGTATCACTCGCCTCACATTACGACATGTATCATTATTCTCGTTTCACATTACGACATGTATCATGAATCTCGCCTCACATTACGACATGTATCATTATTCTCGCTTCACATTATGATATGTATCATGAATCTCGCCTCACATTACGACATGTATCATGAACCTAGCCTCACATTATGATATGTATCATGAATCTCGCCTCACATTACCACATGTATCATGAATCTCACCTCACATTATGATATGTATCATGAATCTCGCCTCACATTACGACATGTATCACTCGCCTCACATTACCACATGTATCATTATTCTCGTTTCACATTACGACATGTATCATGAATCTCGCCTCACATTACGACATGTATCATTATTCTCGCTTCACATTACGACATGTATCATGAATCTCGCCTCACATTACCACATGTATCATGAATCTCGCCTCACATTACCACATGTATCATGAATCTCGCCTCACATTACGACATGTATCATGAATCTCGCCTCACGTTACGATATGTATCATTATTCTCGCTTCACATTACGACATATATCATGGATCTCGCCTCACATTACCACATGTATCATGAATCTCGCCTCACATTACCACATGTATCATGAATCTCGCCTCACATTACGACATGTATCATGAATCTCGCCTCACATTACGACATGTATCATGAACCTAGCCTCACATTACGACATGTATCATGAATCTCGCCTCACATTACCACATGTATCATGAATCTCGCCTCACATTATGATATGTATCATGAATCTCGCCTCACATTACGACATGTATCACTCGCCTCACATTGCGACATGTATCATTATTCTCGTTTCACGTTACGACATGTATCATGAATCTCGCCTCACATTACGACATGTATCATTATTCTCGCCTCACATTACGACATGTATCATGAATCTCGCCTCACATTACGACATGTATCATGAATCTCGCCTCACATTACGACATGTATCATTATTCTCGCTTCACATTACGATATGTATCATTATTCTCGTTTCACATTATGATATGTATCATTATTCTCGTTTCACATTACGACATAATAATGATCCTCGTTTCCCATTACATGTACTGACAATACAATACGAAATACTTGATAACATTCATCTCTATATAAGATGTATATGAGGTATTAATCTCACAATACGATACACAAATTGAAACAACCACGTACCTATAATTCCTTAATCCCGAAGTTGGTAAACCCCGA